AAAAAAATCATATGTATTTCACTAAATCTTTAATGCAATCCAGGGAAAATGTTATTAAGTATTATTTCAGTTATAATCAGTGAGGAAATGCAGGCTCAGGGAAGTTGACTAACTTGCTCACGATTGCACAGCAAGTCACTGGTTAAGGAGGAATTTAGTCTTACGGCAGTCTGCCTCAGGAGTTTCAGCTCTGTCAGTGCAGGACACCTTGCACTTTACCATTCCCTACCTGGAACCTCAGCTCTCCCTGAAGTGGGAAGAGAAAACACAAAGCATACATCGCTGAAGAACTGCACGAACCATGGGAGGAAGAGAAATGGTAACAGCTCTGTGTGCACCTGGACTCATCCTTCTCTTATTATTTATTTAGTTGCACTGTTGTATCTGTCCTGCTTCTTGGTTTCCATCATGTCCTGAACAGTTCGGTCATTTATTGCAATTTGTGCTTTCTTGTTCTTGTGGGAACATAATTTCATTGTGGGTGGGTGAATTGTGAGGACAAATGCTCTGCTCTTGGCTCATTCTCAGAGAGAACTGGGCTCTCCTCAGGAGCTCCTCACCCTCCCCCCACACAGCCTGCCCAGGCTGAGAACTGTGCAGTCATGCTGTGCCCAGAATACCATCCAGATTCTTCCTGATCATGTGAATTGATTTGCTGTCAGCATCCTTATTCTGTCCCTACTTAGTGTCCTGTTTTAGGTCACGCACAGATGTGGGTAGGGCCTTGTTAGGACCAAACCCTGACCTGGAAGGACATAGGAAGTGCTTTCCCTCCTTCGCGTCTATATTGGTCACCTGTGTATCAGGAGAGCAGAGACCCAGCCTTTTACCCAAGGGTGAAGGGAAATCTTCACCCTGGGGAGAACGTCTATTTTTTTTTTTTTTTTTTTTTTTTTTTACCCTGGGGAGAACTTCTAGCAGTGCAACTGGTCATACAGTTTTCTTGGGGAAAAAAAAGTGGCCCAGATATGTGACTCTATACCAATTCATGGGCTGTAGCCAATGGTCTGGCTGGATGGTCAGGGGGTTCCAGGAAATGAGTAGAAAATTGGTTACAAAGACATCTGGAGAACAGATATGTGGGAGACCTCTCCATGTGGGTGAAGGATGTGAAGATATTTGTGTTCCATGTAATGGTCACCAAAAGGTGACCTCAGCAGAAGAGGACTTTAATAATCAAGTAGGTAGGATGACCTGTTCTGTGGCTAGAGATCAACCTCTTTCCTCAGACACCCCTGTCATAGCCCAATGGGCTCATGAAAAAAACTGCCCATGGTGACAGGAAGGGAGGTTATAAATGGGCTCAGTAACACAGACTTCCACTTCCCAAGGATGACCTGGCTACAGCCACTGGTGAATGCCCAGTCTGGCAGAGACCAGAGCTGAGTCCCTGATACGGCACCATTCCCCATGTCTCTGGGGGGTATTTCCAGAGATGATTGGTACTTGGGCCAGCAAAATGCACGGGGAAGACCCACTGTGATTGTGGGTGGCACCAGCCAAGAGACTTGCAGCCTGGGTGAAATACAAGGGAAAGTAAAATGAAGTTGCTGCGAATTTTTTAGAAGCTCCATTCTGCTTGAACAGGTTCCTCTTTTGCTACTGCTGCCGCCTGTGCACATCAGGCTGCACTGTCTTCAGCTCTCCAGGGCACACTCATTCCAGTGACTCTTCGGGCACCTTCCAGGTGTTCATTCTCAGACTGGCCCTTCTTCCTTGATCTTTCTTTTCTTGTGGCTTCCAGCTTTTTGGGCTCAGCAGCGCTTGGATCTTCCAGCTCTCCAGCACACATGTGGCTCTTGCTGACTCATTGCTTCTGATCCTGTAAGCCTAAGTGCTCAAATCCCCTTGGATAATTATATGTATTTTTCTCTTGATTCTATTGCTCTAGAGAACCCTACCAACATAGGAGGCTATTAGAATAAGCCATCCTGTGGGTCTCTTGGGGGAAATCCAGGGCAAATTGGCTTCCTAGTTCACCAAAGGTTGCCAGTAATTCCAGGCACATGTGATTCATTTGGTTTATTTATTTAGGTACTCAGGTTGAACCAAAGTTTTTATGCTGAGCCACAAACCTTACCTTTTTAAAACATGTTTAAAAACTTGAGACAGCCTCTCACTACGTTGCTAAATTGTCCAGGCTGGGCTCAAATTTATGATTTTCCTGCAGCCTCAGCTGCTTGAGATTACAGGTGTGAACCACCACTTCTTGCTCATTGGGGCCTTTTTATAACAATCTACGACAAGAAGCAAAAAAGTTTTTGTGAGGGGCCAATTGCCATAGGACATAATGCCTTAATAAGGTGGGTAACAGTGTAATAGGGATGTGAGGAAAGACACCCCAAATGAGTTGTGGAAGTGGGGAGTGATCACATTACAGAGTTGTGGAAGTGGGGAGTGATCACATTACAGAGTCAGCACTGATACAGGCCCTGAGACCTGGAAGAACATCAGCGTTCAGAGGTTAACTTGATGTGTTGTCAGGAAGGGTTTGGAAATAGAGTAAAAGGAGAGGCTCTTGCTGCTTGTTGCTTCCTGCCTGCCAAGCCATGAACCATTTCTCCTCTGCAGTGCCACCCTGTCTTCGAGCCAGCTGACTATGAACTGAAACTTCTGCAAACTGTGACCTCTAATGAATCCTTCCTCCTTTAACTGTGGGTGTCAGGTATTTTGTCTTAGCAACAAAAAATGTAACTAAGACAGATACGAAGTAGACACTGGACATACAAACCTGAAGCTTAAAAGAGACCAGATTAGAGATGCAGATACAGAATCCATCAGCAAACAAGAGATAGTATGAAGCCGTAAGATTTCCCAGAGAGAGTATGGTAGGATAAAAGACAGAGGCTAGGCGATGACCAGAGGGAAAACTGCATCTAATAGGTGAGAAAGGAAGAGACGCCCACAAAGGAAATTTAAAAAGAATAACTAGAAAGTAGGAGAAAAACAAAGCATGGTGGTGCTCTCATTCCACAGGAAAAATAATTTCTAAAAAATCCGGAAGAGTGACCATGAAATTTGACAGTTGCCTACTGGTGACCATACTGAGAGCAGTTTCAGTTCCTGATTGCAAAGGACCGAGGAATCCATTGCAAAGAGAAAATGCTTATAAATTTAATGAGAGTCTGAGGAAGGTGCCGGAAGATCACGAATTCCTTCATAGAAAGTGAAGTAACTTACTGAAAGGGAAGTGTGTGGGCTTAAAGACTGTTCGTGGGGTGGGGTGTGTGATAGTTGTGCAGAGAAAGAAAATCTTTGAATACTACTTCCTGCCAAATTCCTACTCAGTATTATTCTTTTTCATGCTGAACTTTGTGAAAAATCCTTTCATTTCCTCTTTTTTGGTTTTTTGAGACAAGACCTTGCTACCTACTTCAGGCTGGCCTTGAACTTACTATGTAGCTCAAGCTGGCTTCAAACTCACAGCCATCCTCCTGCCTCAGTCTCCTGAATGCTGAGCACGTACCATCACGTCTAGCTTTCTGCCTTCATTCTTTAAAAACCACCTTCACTGTACTTTGGCATTTTTCTACATGTAACAGTTACTTTAAAAAAAATTACCAATGACTCATGTTTTAACTCATGTATAGTTTACATCTGATATTATTTGTTTAAAAGGAGCAAAATGGAGGATAGATATTGGGAAGGAAAGAGAACAAGGGAAGCGTGGGGAAAGGGAAGGAAGGAAAAAGGGATTTAAAAAAAGGATGGAAGAAAATATAGAAACTAAGCTTTTGTAAGTGGGGAGGAGAACAAGGGTTGAAGGGAAGAGAGAGAAATAGGAAAAGAAAGAAGAATTAAGGTGTATTATGTACAAGTACAAATTCCCTATGATGAATGCGATCATGATGTATGGCAAACATGTACCAATAAAAATTAATTTAAAAAAGAGTAAATTACTTGATATTATTTTTTGGGAAGTAGGGTATTACAAATTGAACATAAGGCCTCAGAGATTCTAGGAAAGTGCTCTACGACTGAGCTACACTCCTAGCCTTACGCCTTATTTTTTTCTTTTAGTTTTTATGCCTGATATTCTTAACAATATACTCTGACTTTGTCTAGATAATATGATTCTGATTCCTAACAGTGAGATCAAGACATAAGCTGTATTTCCTTCCTACCTCAGTAGAATGTTGGAGAGTTAATAAAGTGAGATTATAAGGGACGCAGACCACATCTGACATAGTAGCTATAATTATGTCATCTTCCCAATAGAATTGTTGCAAGGATTGAGTGAAATAATGAGGATTAAATTAGATAATGTATATAAAATTCTCCCTCTCTCTTTCCTCCCCACTCCTCCTCTCCTCCCCTTCCCTCCGTTCCCCTCCCCTCCCCTCTCCTGCCCTCCTCTCCCTTCCCCTCCCCTCCCCTCCCCTTTCTCCTCTCTAGGCGGCCAGAGATAACCTATCACAAAAACAGATTAAAAAGGCAGGGGGTGTGGTTCAGTGCTCCCTGGGTTCCCTCTCCAGCACCACAGAAACACACAAGCGCCCCACCTGAAAAAGAACCCCACCCAAACACAACCAGCCAAACAAAACTTTTATGTTGGGAGCCGGGAGGGAAGTGTTTCATGTTCTTGAAGCTAGGCATTTATTCCTCTAGTTTTGTATACATCTTAAAGTCTCACAATAAAACCTATGATTTGTTTTGCTCTATTTATTTGTGTGGACGACGCCGTACAATTGTAAACCAAAATGTGAGAAAACTTAGTGACACCCCTCTCCACTCCCCAAGGTAGGGAAGGAATGCAAGGAAGACTTGATTTGAAATAGAAATGATTGGAATAGTAGTATAATATCATAAGTGGCCTTGTATAATATCATAAGTGGACTTCATGCTAATAACTAGTCTCAGAATATCGTTTTCTAGTTCCTAGTCCATCTTTTTTCACCAGAGCCGTCCAAGTTCACGCATCACTAGAAAACTACAAATCCCAGGGCGCATCGCGCGCGAAGCGTCACAGCGAGGACCTCGCGTCTCTGCGCGGGTGGCCCTCGCCCCGTCTGAACTGGAATGGACCCTGTGAAAATCGATGACTGCGACTCAGAGTCTATTGGGAGTGCCTGGGTCTGCGCCGGTACCGCTGGCAGGGTACAGCGTGGTGCCTTTCTGTGCAGGCGTTGTCCCGGGCAGCCCCGTCCTTGCCTGGGGCCTCCATGCGGCGGGAGGCCCCATAGTGCGCCTCCAAGATGGCGACGCCGTTGGCGGTAAATTCGGGTGAGTGCGGCCGGGGAGAAGGGAGCCGCCGGGGAGAGCGGCGACAGGTTCTTCAGTGAGAGACCTGGGCTGGGGAGTTCCTGGGAGTCCAGACTCCCCCTTGTGCGCGGCGCCTGCTTGGTCCCGGCTCCGGGCCTAGCGCCCTGCCCCTCCCCAGTTTGAATGGCGCGCGCTGGCCCGCCGGCTCCGGCCCTCGCGTTGGAGTTTGAGAGGCGCGGGAGAGGGGCACGGTGCGCTCGACCCTGGCGTGCGGATCGAGCCGTCCAAGGCTGAGCCGGGTTTCTCCTATCCTCCAACTCCATTGTGCATCTGAGGCCCAGATTTCGCCCGTATGCATGATTCCGAGGCCAGAAGATCTGCGGTCTGCCCCAGCCCCGAGCGGAAGCTGGAAACTCACACCTCCGAGCGGGCACGCGGACCCCTCTCGGGGTGCAGGGGCTCCTCCAGGCCGCGAGGCCACGCTTAGGAAACCTCCAGCCGGCCGGTGGCGAGGAATCGGGTGTCCCGGGCTCGGAAGATCTAGCTCTGCGGCTGGGGTCCGCCCTAGGCGCTCCTGCACTTTTGTGGCCGTGGACTTTCGGGGTGAGGCGGAATCTAGGGAGCAGTGAAGGAACTACGGGAGAATGGGATGATTCGAAATCCCCGGGACGCTCGAAAGAGTGGCTGCGTTTTGATTGTCACAGTCCTTGGAGAGTGTGCTGGCTCTTAGTAGGCGGAGCGAGAGTGCCAAAAAGCCCTGCCCGGGGCTAAGCGGTCCTGTAAACAGAGCTTTTCCTGCTTAAAATCAGTCCCTCAGCTGACTCGCTGAACTCTGTAGGCACCTTTAGGAGAATTTCTGTGCGGTAAACGCTCGTAGAGAATCTCATTCAAGAGGACTCATCTCCTGGTACTTTTTTTGATTCTGTACAGTGATTTGCGTTTTGTTTTGATTTATTATTGGTTCTACTTTCCACGGGTCTGGGCTTTGTAAGTCAAGTTGTTTTAGAACGCCATACGTTATTTTATAATAGTGGGGGTTATGCTTGTTAAGCACCGACTATCTCCCAGCACTGGACCTAGTGGTGTACTTGCAGTGTCTCGTGCCCTTTATACCCCAAGAAGTCTTCGTCCGCCCCTCACTGGGGAGTGAACCCAAGGCCATAGTACTGAGCTAATTCTGAGTATTGAGCCCACTTTTTCTTTTTTTTTCCTTTTTTTTTTTTTTTGGTTTTTCTCCGGTACCGGGAACCGAACTCACGACCTTGCGCTGAGCTCACTTTTTAAAAAAAGTTTTATTAGTGCATGTTTTCGGTCCATGCAGTGTACAGTCATTTTGGGGCGTGGTTACATGTACACAGCATAGGTTTGTTTCTTCTCTTTTAAATACCCCCACCCACTTTTTATTTTGAGAAAGGGTCCCGCTGAAATGCACAGGTTGCGCTTGAACTTGTTATCTTCCTACCTCACCCTCCCAGAGTGTTGGGATTACAGGTCTGCATCTAGACTCCTGGCTAGTAGCTACTGTTAAATATGTTACAGATTTACGAATAGAGGCTTTGTTGCTTAAGTAATTTACCCAAAGTTAAACAGAAACGTAAGTTACTGAGAGGGGAAAAGTCTCCCAACAGCTGTAAGGAGGCAGCATTGCACAATAAAGCGTAGTAGTAAGAGTGTTGTTTGTGTGCCTGCTGGGGTTTAAGCCCACAGCCTCAGAGCCTGTGAAGCATGGGTTCTGCCGCAAGAAATACTCCTATCCCAGCTGTGGGCCCCTACCCTGCCTGGCCCTGGGGATCTAGGGTCTTTTGCAGAGGTACCTCCCCAGCCTTCTTTTTTGGGGGGGGACCCCTCCTATTCTTTATTTTGAGACAGGGTCTTGCTTGAATTTGTGATGTTCCTGCCTCAGCATCCCAGAAGGGTGAATTTAGGATTGTAGCCTGGTATGGTGACACAGGAGGTTATGGCTGGGGGCTCTCAAGTTCACGCCTAGCCTGCGTAATTTTAGCAAGATCTTGTCTCCCAGTAAATTTGGGTGTTTTCCCAATCCTGCCTTTTTTTTTTAGATGTGAGGGAAGGGAGGTGAGGCAGTTACTTGTATTGAGTGCCTGTGATATGGCAGGTTTGTAGTGTGTATTTTACCTAGTTTTCCTCATCCTTAGGAGCAGATGGTGACCCACTTTTGTATAAAAGGAAACTGAAAAGCAGTTCTTTAAAATCAATCAATCAAGAAAAGGTTCTTCTCATTTTCAGTCACATAACTAAAAAGGTGGTAAGACCAGGTTCAGTTGACACTCCAGTCAGGATTTATTTGATTTTTTTATTAAGAAAGCATATTTATATTGTTCCCTGAGAATTTCAGTAAACTGTGCTTTTATATTTTTGTTTTCTGTTTGTAACTTCTTGTATTAAAAAGTAGCCACAAATGGACAAGTCGACAGTGACTTACATTATTTTCCACATGTATGTTTTGTTTGATGCTGGTTTTATTTCTTTTTCCTTTAAGCTGCCAGTCTGTGGGGTCCTTACAAAGACATTTGGCAGACAGTGGGAAATGCTCTCTGGAGAAGACAGCCTGAAGCCATCCACCTTCTGGACATGATTTTGAAGAAACACAGACCTGACTTCATCTCATTGTTCAAAAACCCAGTAGGACATTTTCTTTTTTGCTTCTTAGATTCACCTTTTTTTTTTTTTTTTTTTTAAGGTCTAACGTGGAAGTAAACTCTTAATGCATGTAAATAAAATGTTACCTGACCTGTGCCAGTGGTTCAAGTTTTCTTTTAAACTGACTTCTCCTGGGAGCAGTTATTGTCTTCTTTTTGTTTTCCTTAAAAGTTACTACTGAATTTATCTTGGGTAATAGATAGACTTAATAATATTTAAAGAAAATTTGAGATATTCAGTATATTCCAGAAATACTAGCTGTTTTAGAATTTCTGACCTACAGTTAATGTAATACGCCTGTGTTTTATTATTTATTTCCAGATACATTTTTGCATGAGTGTATAGTATTTTATAAATTGTGTTAGCTGATACCCTTTGCAAATAGCAATAAAGTAAATCAGTGTAGGGGCTGGGGATTTAGCTCAGCGGCAAAGCGCCTGCCTGGCAAGCGCAAGGTCGTGAGTTCGGTTCCTGGTACCGGAGAAAAACTTAAAAAAAAAAAAAAAAAAAAAAAGTAAATTAGTGTAGGAAATTCACTCTTTACTGTTTAACAGTTTGCTTTTAAAATTTTCTGTTTTGAGGTGGCATCTCTCTAAATCTCTGGCTGTAGCTTGTGATCCTTCTGCTTTAGCCTCCCAGAATACTTGCATTTGTGTATCACCAATCCTGGCTTGCAAATTTGCCTTTCTATACTAAGCTGACCATCCAAGAACCGCTTATGGGATATGTTAGAAGATACGGCTTTTGAGATTTTGGGGCTTTCTTTAGTAGAAAGAGCCCTGGCAGCAAGCCTGAGAGCCAGCTGAGCTCCAGTCTGGGTTCTACCACTAGACTTGTGTGTGACCCCCAAGCAAGTTACCTGATTGAACTCGATGCCAGATTTCCTGTGTGTCATAGATAATCTGGTTTAAATCACCTATATACTTTTGTTAAGATTTTAAAAAGTTTTTCTTGAGTTTATGTAATGATCACATTCATTATAGAGAATTTGTACATATGCATGGTATATCTTAATTCTGTTTTTCCCTTATTCCCATTTTTTGAGGGTTTTTTTCTTTTTTTTTTTTTTTTTTTGTCTTTTTGAGACAGGGTCTCACTATGCAGTTCAGGCTGGCCTTGAGCTCACTTTGTAGCCCATTTTGTTTTTGGAGACAGGGTCTTGCTCTATAATTGAGGCTACCCTTGAACTCACTATGTAGCCCAGGCTAGCCTCAAACTCATGGTGTTTCTCCTGCCTCAGCCTCCTGAGTGCTGGGATTGCAGGCATGTGCCGCCACGCTACGCTTAAAATTTTAAGATTCTATGTTTTTAAAACCCTGAAAGATTGTTTTCTTTGCTAAGTTGCTAAATTTTTAATTTTTATTAGTACATATTTGTGGTACTAATTTTTAAGATTTCAGTTCTATCAGGTAATTTGGTGCTACATGTCATTTGTTGAACATTTGAATAAAAGAAAATCATATGAATTTTTGATATCAACAGGCTGATTTACTCTTGACATATATTTTGTTATTTTCCACTTGAAGACCTTAATGTTTTTATGTATTAGGTATATAATTGGAAAAATTCTTTGGAAATGCAAAAAATAAAGTGCTATTTTGTATATTTTCTCTTTATTTTGTAGTTCATAGTTTAGCAGAAACAGTTTATTGAGAAAGTAGTACTAGGCTAAAAGGTTGAAGGCAATGCAAAATGTTGCCTCATAAAGGTCTACTTCTAAGATCATCTGATAAGAAATACTTGGATTTACTATGTTATCAGTTTGTATTATGAAAAAGGTCTATAGCTACCATTGTAGGAAATGGGCTCCAGTGTACTATTTTCATTACTTGATTATAATTTTATAGCCAAAAAATGTCCAACAGCATGAGATGGTTCAGAAAGCCAGTACCGAAGGAGTTGCCATCCAGGGTCAACAGGGAACTCGACCTCTTCCCGAAAAGCTCATTAAAGAAGCCTTTATTCTCAGCGACCTTTTTGATATCGGGGAGTTAGCAGCTGTTGAACTTCTCCTTGCAGGTAGGTTGACATTTAACTGAAACTGTAGTAAGGCCATGCTGAATTATAAAGTTATGTGCTTATAGTTTTAAAATACTGTATTGTGTAGATTCCAGAATAGCTTCTGGGGGTATAAATTATTTGACGTAGAGATAATTGACAACAGCATATTCAGAATTTCTTTTACTTAGCTTTGGTTCAAGGGAAGGCTTTAGCTTAGTGATCAGAGTTGTTAAAGATAATTGAACTGCTTTAGGGTAGGCTTTTCGTTGCTAATGCACTAGAAATTCAGTGCATTCATTCAGGTTTGTGCATGATTCAGTTACAGGCTGGAAGGAATTGGGTTAGTTAGCTTGACCTTGGATTGTGCAGAGAAATCTTCACAAAGATGGTAGGGTTTAAGCTAAGTGTTGCAAAGTGGGTAAACTTACGTCAGGTGAAATAGAGGTGCTTAGAAGATAAAGGCCATAGGCAGAAAAAGTCACCTGTACCTGGAGACAGCAAGGTGACCGATTTGGAGATCCAAAGGGAGTACTGAGGAGGAATGAGAAGGGGAAGGAGAGAAGGGAGTGGTAGGAGACAAACTGAAACTGGCAGGGTGTGCTCAGTAAGACAAAGTAGGGGTTCACTCAGAGGCACGCGGGTTATAGTGTTAGTAACCACAAAATGAAAAAGGTTCTTTCAGAAAAGACTGGGAGAGAAAATTTCCAGCTATTTGAAAGATTTCATGTTAGCAAAAGCAAGGGCATTGAACAAAATTGGATTCAGTAGACAGCAGTGGGACCAAAAGATTCACACAAGCAAAGGAAGTCAGAGATGAAAGTGAAATGGAGAGTTTGAAAAGGATGGAATTCACGTTACTGCATGGGGGTGTGGCCATTTGTGCACAATGTGCAAGGAGTGAACAAGGAGGTGGGGAGATGGGTGTTTGAACTCCTCAGGCCCCTTCAACTGGCGTTCTGTGATTCCTTGAACTGAACGCTGGTGTGGTGATTTTCCTTTTTTTTTTAATGTAGTGATTGTTTGCTAAATTACTTCTTACTGTTCTTGCCTAGGAGAGCATCAGCAGCCACATTTTCCTGGCCTCACGAGAGGATTAGTAGCTGTTCTTTTGTACTGGGATGGAAAGCGATGCATTGCCAATTCCCTGAAAGCCTTAATACAGTCTAGACGAGGGAAGACGTGGACTTTAGAACTCAGGTCTGCTTAATGCTTGGGATTTCAGAGCTTCATTTGAAATTATTTGGAGAAGTACAATCTTAGAAATGGTACAAGCTTCCCCTTAGTATGTACAGTTTCAGTAAAATATGTAACATGCTGAGTGATATACTTCCTACCCTTCAAACTAACATAGCAGTTTAAACCTACTTTATTTTGTTTATAAATAATTATGTTCACAAGGTTACTGAAGCTCAGTGATCTAGAAGGATAAAAAGAATGCAGTAGTAATCCTCTTGTTTTCAATAATGTGTTATAGTCAAAAGAGCGTTTGCCCTGTTATTGTGGGGAAGTAGAACCATTAATCGATACAGCTTTGTTTCTTTCCCTTACAGCCCAGAGCTAGTTTCCATGACAACACGCTTTACAGATGAGCTGATGGAGCAAGGACTGACTTACAAAGTTCTTACTCTGGTGTCACAGATTGATGTAAATAATGAGTTTGAGAAACTACAGCGAGACAGAGGTCTGGGCAGTGAAAAACATCGCAAAGAGGCAAGCATTCAATGAGATCAATTCATAGGTTATCTGTATCAAATCCCGGGCAGAAAAAGGCATAACTCAAAGTCTTATTATGTGGGCAAAAAAAATTAATCGTGCGTTTCAAAGTATGTAGTTTTTTTTTTTTTTTTGGTTTTTCTCCGGTACCAGGAACCGAACTCACGGCCTTGCGCTTGCCAGGCAGGCGCTTTTGCTGCTGAGCTAAATCCCCAGCCCCTAAAGTATGTAGTTGACTGTGTCCATGAAATTGACTTCAGATTATTTCAGTTTCTGTATAGTCATTTATGTGCCATACTAGCTTTTTCTGGGATGAACTCTTTCAGGAATTGGTCACCCCAATTTCTAAAGAAGTTAAAGGGAAGGGGAATAAATAGGATTTGTTCAGAATCTCAGAGATGAGATTTTAGGATCACTTGAGTATTGATATAGGTTGATTTTGTTAGGCTTTATAAACAATAGCTTGCACTTTGTAGTAAGAGTAGGATTCACTGTAGTTTATTTAAATTGATTAATCATGTATTTTTATTTCTAGGTTTCTGATCTCATCAAAGAGTGTAGGCAGTCTTTGGCAGAAAGTCTTTTTGCCTGGGCTTGCCAGTCTCCTTTAGGCAAAGATGACACCCTCCTCCTTATTGGCCATTTGGAGAGAGTTACAGTGGAGGCCAATGGCTCACTGGATGCAGTGAATCTGGCTCTTCTCATGGCACTGCTGTACTGTTTTGACATCAGTTTTATAGAACAAAGCACAGAGGAACGAGATGGTACTGATTTTATACCTTTATTTTTAAAAATTTTTTAAAAATACATTTATTTTTAAAAATCAGATTTAAAAGTGTGGAAGTATCGTTCAAGAAGGGTGACGTAAGATCACATTTAAGGCTTGGATCATAGCTCGGTTAGAGTGCTTGCTTACCGTGTACAAGGCTGAGTTGGACTCCAGCACCATGTAAAACATCCAGCTCTTTTGTTACCCTGGGATTTGTTTCTTTATAGCTGTGGAATGGAAGTGATGAAGGTTATTTAATATGTGTTCATGAGGGGCTGGGGATTTAGCTCAGTGGCACAGCACCCGTCTGGCAAGCACGAGGTCATGAGTTCGATTCCCGGTACCAGAAAAAAAAAAAAAAAATATGTGTTCATGAGGTACACGTGCCTGTAACTTGCATCTTTATTGTTTATTGACATGTTTAAATCCTTCATGAAAAGATAGAATTGTGTTGAAGTTCTATAAAAAATATTTCATCTTTGACTTACAATTTTTGTGAGGTACATAAAACTTCAGATAGTATTTGTATTTTAGAATTATATGTAGAAAAATGAATGACCTCTTTTCTAATTTCTTTTACACTTACAAAAACGATTCAAAGTAGTACGATTAAAGTTTAGTCTATTTCTTCTTTCACTTAGTTTGTATACAATGTTTAGCAGTAGTATACTTTTTGTGTGGTAAACACTAATGTTAATTAGTCTTCTTTTCAGAAAATGCACAGGTTTTCTGACTTAAGACATTCCTTTGTGTCAGGAATGAGGATTTATGGACTCTTTGGGAGTGTCCTCTATTTTTGTGTTTTCAGATGTGATTCATCAGCTTCCACTGCTGACAGAGAGACAGTACATCGCCACAATACACTCTCGTCTTCAGGACTCACAGCCGTGGAAGCTGCCTGGGCTGCAAGCTACTGTTAGGCTCGCCTGGGCACTGGCACTCCGGGGAATTTCTCAGCTACCCGATGTGACAGGTAAATTGTAGGTAATTTTGGTAAGAGAAAGCAGTGTCAGCATTTAATGCAATTTCTAAAGAGGTGTTTTCTTTGATGTGTGTAATAAGGATAAGCATAGGAAGATGATCTAGAGTTATATGAGAAGAAATTTGGGAAGGTAGTAGTGGAGTACTTTTTTTCCCCTCTCATCTCCCAAAGTAAATTATATGAATTACTTACCTTTTTTTGATTGAGTGACAAAGCTCTTTCGCCATTTTTTTCTCTTTTATGAGACAGGGTCTCGCTATGCAGTTCAGGTTGGCCTTGAACTCACTTTGTAGCCCAGGCTGGCCTCAAAACTCACACCAATCCTCCTGCCTCAGTCTCCCAAGTGCTGGGATTACAGGTGTGCACCACCACGCCTGGCCTTCTTTTACCTTAGAGTAAGAGTTTAACATTGAAACAATGGTATAGCATTCTTTTTTTTTTTTTTTTTTTTTTTGAGGTTTCAGGAGTTGAACCCAGGGCTTCACTCACACATGCTAGGCAGCACCAGCCCTAAATAAAATATGTTTTAAATTAAAATTTACTGTAAATTTTATTTTTGTATATTTTCCTTCCTGATTTGTTTAGACAAACTAGTTTTTCACATTGTATCAAAATTAAAATTCATTATTTTTCAAAAGAAGATGCTTGGGTTTTAGAAAGGAAATATGTGATTAGTCAACAGATGTGGAATTGTGACTTTAATAATGGATTCTTTGTGCCATTTTGATTCATGTAGTTTGGTTTTGGTTTTTGTTTTTGTTTTTTTGAGACAGATAATAGCTCTCTCCTGTCTGTATTACATTGCACATCTCTAAATTAGTTTTCATCACTCGTTATTATAAAGAGCATGGATTTTTCTATTAGTTTTTCAGTAGTTCTTTGGTGTTTATGAGTCAGCTACAATTGTACATAGTCTCATTTGTGCTTTATACATGATAGAAGGGTGAGGAGATGTCTGAAATATGAGCCATCTGCAGAATATTGTGGGATAGAACCTGAACTAATGACTTTTCTTCTGTCTTCTTTTCTAAATATCCTTCTAGCACTGGCTGAATTCACAGAAGCAGATGAAACAATGGCAGAGCTTGCAATTGCTGACAGTGTTTTCCTGTTTCTCACTGAATCGGTAGTGGTGTCAGAAAATTTCTATCAGGAAGAATTTTATCTTCGTAGAACCCATAATCTTATCACAGATTTCCTTGCACTTATGCCAATGAAAGTAAGTATAATAATGTAGGATGAGTGAACAGTGTGGAAGAACTTTTATAAAATAGTTTAAAACTGATTTAAAATGAATATAACCTTCAGTGTAGAGTGAAATTTGACAATACTACAGTTTGTAGCTCAGGAAGATGAAATAATATAAGCCCTGTTAACTGAAATAAATCATCAGGATGAAATTCTTTTTTTTTTTTTTTGGTTTTTCTCCGGTACCGGGAACTGAACTCACGACCTTGCGCTTGCCAGGCAGGCGCTTTTGCCGCTGAGCTAAATCCCCAGCCCCCAGGATGAAATTCTTGACATTGAGAATGGTTAATGATGAGAAAGTAATACATGAGTGAAAATGCTTCCTTGGGTAAAATATTAACAAGCCCCTGCTACCCAAGGGATCGGTTCTGCCCTCTGGCTGTGAGTTCCGTAACTGTAGATTCAACCAACCATAGGTCACAAATACTTGAGAACAACAAATTGCGTTTGTACGGAACATATATAGCTTCTCCCCCCCTCTTGTTATTTCCCAAGTGTTATACCAGCTATTTATATAATTTTTGCATTGTATTTTAGATATTAGAAGTAAATTAGAGGACTGGGGATTTAGCTCAGCGGCACAGCGCCTGCCTGGCAAGTGCAAGGTCGTGAGTTCGATTCCCGGTACCGGAAAAAAAAAAAAAAAAAATTTAGAGATAACAAAATATATGGGAAGGTACACATAAGTTATGTGCAAATACTACATTATTTTAGATTAGGGACTTGTATGTGTGTGGTTTTGATATCTGATATATGTGGGGGAGTAGGTTGGGTTGCTGAAATCAGGCAGGAGACCGGTATATATATTTTTTTTTTTTTGGTTTTTCTCCGGTACCGGGAACCGAACTCACGACCTTGCACTTGCCAGGCAAGCACTTTGCCGCTGAGCTAAATCCCCAGCCCCGAGACGGGTATATTTTTAATATGATTTGGAAGAAGTACAGTCCATGAATGCCGAGGGATGGGTATATTTTTAATACGATTTGGAAGAGGTACAATCTAAAATTCCATTTTATAGGTAATTGTTTATGGAATGTTAATTATAGTGTATAAGTGGGTTTCAGTGTAAATGCAGGCAAAGTAATGGATTTTAGAAACCAGTACAAAGGCTGTTTTTAGCAGATGGCCTGTGATGTACCTGTGATCCCCAAAAGGGTTGTTGGAGCCGCTTCGCATGGTCTTTGCCAGTATATGTTGTGTGTGCCATCATATGTCAAAGGAGCCACCTAAAAGGTGGTAGGAAGTAAATAAAAAAGCTCCCTTTTTTCTACTTATTTAGTGTATATGTCGTAAAACTACTTTTTGATACACAAATTTAAAAGGAAGGATTTACATTTGTAATATATTACACAGGTCTGATACCATACCCTCTGAAAAACATAAAGCAAGTGGAAAAAGTACCAAGAATGGCAAAAGCAAGGCGTCAGATACTTGTTACTTAATGAATCAAGTGTTTATTGAGTTTCTCCTGTGATCCAGGTACTATGCTAGATACTGTGAAGAAAACAAATAAGGCTAGTGGTGTTGCCCCTGGGCTCAATCCCCAGCACCAAAAAAAGATAAATAAGTATACTTACTGCCTGCCAGCAAAGAACTTAGAATCATTGTAGAGATAAGATATACATGTAAAGAAAAATACAGCTTGTAACAGTAAATGATTGAGAGGTACGGACAGTTAGATGGCTTTCTTTAGCTGAGTGGCTCACTCAAGGGCTAGAATGGTCAGAGTGTCCTAACAAGTAAGTTGAGCTCACTCAGTGCTGACTCGGAAAGCTTGAAGGACTTGACAGATGAGCATCGCAGAACTTTAGGACTAGAGAAAGGCTAATCCTTTCATTATATGTTTGTAGATATGAACCCTTAGGAAGTTTAAAGTTTAGAATTTTTCCCAAATTAATAGGTCAGATGAGACTTTGACTATAGAAAGATAATGAAGATAGAAAGATGAAGGATACTAAGAGGAATTTGGATAGAAGAATCATAAATGGCTTGGGTAAGAAGGTAAACAGTGAATTTGTTTACACAATTCTGAGATAGTGGAGTTTCTTGAATAGATACAGAATTTATTCTGTTTTTTTTTTTCCTTTTAAAGTATTTGCGAACCCAGGACCTGCACACTAAGCCACAGCCCTATTTTACTTTATTTTATCTTACTTTATTTTATTTATTTTTTTATTTCGGGACAGGGTCTTGCTAGTTGCCCAGGTGGGCTGTGAATTTGCACATCCTACTGTTTCGTTGCAGGGATTACGGGTGTGTGCCACTGTGCCCAGATAGGTTCTTTTCTTAAATGCGCTTTTGTAGTTTGCGTGTTAGTGAATATGTCCACGTCGTTAAAATTATCAAACTGATGGACATAAAGTCATTCGTAACTTTCCTGGATTGTAACTTTTGTTTCTATAGGATCTGTAGTAATATTTTCTCTATAATTCCTGATATTAGTAAAATGTGTCTTTTCATTCATACAAACTTGGCTAGGGGTTTAGTAATCTTATGTTTCCTTTGAATCAGCTTTTGGCTACATTGATTTTCTGGTATTTCATTTTATGGTTACTGATTTGTACTTTTGTATTTTCTTCTTTTTGCTTTGATCTTAATTTACCCTTTTTATTTCAGTGCCCTACCCCCTTTCCCAGAAGCACTCTACCAATGAGGAACATCCCCAGTTATTTTTATTTTTTATTTTATTTTTCTTGAGCTTTTGAGACAGGGTCTTGCCATGTAGTTCAGGATACCCTTGAATTTACCATGTAGCCCAGGCTGGACCCAAGTTCATGGCAGTGATCCTCCTGCTTGTCTCCCAATCCCTCCTGGGGTTACAAGCATGCGCCACCACACCTGGTTGTTTGTATTTTTTATTTTGAGACAAGGTCTTGCTAAGTTGCTAAGTTGCCTTGTTTGTAGCTCAATTATGTTTTGGCTAGAGAACATACTTTATAGGATTTGAGTTGTGTTGAGGTTTCTTCTATGGCTCGGAATATGGCCTGTCTTGGTAAATGTTCTGTGTATATCTGAAAGGAACATGTATTCTGCTACTGTTCTATGGATTGTTCCATAAATATCATTTAGGTTAAGTTGCTTGATACTGTTGTTCAGGCTGTCTATATCCGGGCTGGTTTTCTGTGTACTTTTCTATTGAGTATTGAGGGGGAGTGTTGAAATCTCCAGCTGTAATTGTGAATTTGTCTGGCTGTGATTTCTTTGTAAGGAAGTGGCTTATTTCTGTTGGCATCTAGTTTAGACAAATGTTTTAAGTCTGTGTGGTTCTCAAGCAGGGTTATAATGTTCTTCACAACATGTGAGAAATGGGTAGTGCTAGTTTTGCTTGTTACAGTTACTGTAGTATGGTTATTGGTTGGTAGGTGGTTCCAGAAATGCTGAATTTACTATCTTGTTCAGAATAATCTAACCTAGTGAAGAAATTTTCTGCCCAAAATGTCAGGAATATCCCCATTGAGAAACACTGAGGTTAAACTCATGTTTGTTCTCTGAAGTTTTAAGATGCTGTAAATTACAGGTGGTATGTAGCAGTAACATTCCTAGCATACTTTTTCACATCACTAAACAATGTTATTATTGTATGTAATCACTTTAAGACATTTGCTTAATTTCTGATTTCATTTCTATTAGCGCTTATATAAGAAATGTACATACTGACCATGTCTAATAAACTTAATAGGTGAAGCAACTGAGGAATCGGGCAGATGAAGATGCCCGAATAATTCACATGAGTGTGCAGATGGGTAACGAACCGCCCATCTCACTGAGGAGGGATCTGGAGCACTTAATGCTCTTGGTAAGCTTTTATGTCACACAACTTGTCATTTCTTTTTCCTCGCATTATCTTTTCTTTTGCTTTGGAAAATTTCAGCTCTAGTGTTTTTGAGTCCACAATGAAATCCAACATGAAGATACTAAGTTATGTTAAGGTGATGTTTTAGCTGCAAGCATGTACCCACAACCTTTGTCCACTCTGCAGATGGGTGAACTATACAAGAAAAACCCTTTCCGCCTGGAGCTCGCCCTAGAGTACTGGTGTCCTTCGGAGCCTCTGCAGACTCCCACTGTGATGGGTTCCTACTTGGGAGTGGCCCATCAGCGACCCCCTCAGCGCCAGGTGAGTCCGTAGCCCTTCTGTTTTTATATTCTGTTACGGTAATTGGGAGTTGTGAAAACATGGAAGGTGTTCTTCCTGATGTTATTGTTGTTAACACAAATGTCCACTGACGCCACAGTTAAAAATTTATACCTTTCTCTTTATTTAGGAAGAATTGAAACCACTAAACTTAGTGTCTGATCATTTTGTTTTTTTTGTATTCAGCCCTTTATTCATACTAGATATATATCAAGTTGTTAGAGGCACAAAGGCTTCTAATCTATTTATATATCACTTACTTGAGTTTTATTTTAGTATTTTAGTCTGTCCCCTATTAGGTCTAATAAGAACCATTGTTGGTAATTCCTAACAAATTGGGAAGATAAGAGAGGTATGAGTATTAAAGGAAAAGGCTTAGAAGTTTTACTTGGTGACTACATGGATATTAGCTTGTGGATAATGTAGGAAGAGTCCATTTTCCATCCGGAATTATCTAATTATGTTGTACAGGAGTAAATGGATCGCCTGTCAGTATTCATGTCTTGGGTGATTTTTTTTTTTTTTTTTGGTTTTTTTCCGGTACCGGGAACCGAACTCACGACCTTGCACTTGCCAGGCAGGCGCTTTGCCGCTGAGCTAAATCCCCAGCCCTGTCTTGGGTGATTTTTGTTTAGAAGTTGTCATGCTACATGCTTTGTTTTTTTCCTAGAGTCTAGCAGCAGATGACCCCTCCATATTGTATTTATTAGATTTGTTTCAGTTTTTTTTTTTTTTCATTTAAAAAATGTTTCAGAGAAGGCTATATGAAAACCTTTTACTGATTAAAATTATTTTTCTGTAGCCGGGCATGGTGGCACACACCAGTAATTCTAGCACTGTGGGCTGAGATAGATGGTATGCTTGAGCCCAGTCTGGGCAACTTAGAAACTTTGCAAGAGTATCTCAAAATACAAAGTCAGTGCAAAGACCCTGGGTTCAATCCTTGGTACCACACACACATATACACATGCACACACGCAGTTTCTGTTCCAAAAAATTTGAAACATATGGAAAATAGAATGAGTATAATGAGTACATAACATCTTAATTCCACATCTTATGGTTGACATGTTTGCTTCCTTTGCTACTATTACTTTTATTACTTACATTTTTGCTAGAATATTTTAAATTATAAGTAACATGACTTTTCCCCTTCAGTGGTTAAGTAAGCATAATTCTTAAAATTAAACATACTTAATTATTACAAACCCATTGTTCTGCCTAACAGATTTAACATTACTTTGCAGAAAACTGCAAACATTTTCATCTTTCTTTTCCAAGTAATAGGTATGAACAGTACTTTTAGTTACTGATAACAGATTTAAAGTATAAGAAAGCAAAAGAAAAAAACTAAGAAATAGAATAGATAGCAGTGTAGAAACATGGTTATAGTGAGAAAATAAAAACAGTAGATTTATGTTACCATTGAAATGATTTCAGGTTGATAGGTTTTCATACTAATCCAGCTGAGATTTAGGGACTCTGGGTTCTAAGTATACCTTTGAATTTTCTGGTTAATTTTGGATGGATACGTTTCTTCAGTTGCTTTATATATTAAAAATCTGTTGTAATCTTGAGATGTTGAAAAAAATACTTTTTAATTCACAAAAGGATTTTGAAGTTGCATTAAATTGCTGCTGAGCAGCTTAAAAACAATTTTTCATAAATAAAATACCCTTCATTTTGTCTTCTGCCAGGGTTAAATCAAAACACTTAGTTTTGATTTATATGTAGTCTTTATTAGCTAGTCCATGTTGCTTTATAATAAAGACACTTTTTATTTATATCTATAATCTATATTGGTCTTTTTAAGACAGGGTCTCAATGTGCAGTTCAGGCTGGTCTTAAATTCATTTTGTAGCCCAGGCTGGCCTTGAACTCTCAGCAATCTTCCTGCCTCAGCCTCCCAAGTGCTAGGATTACAGGTGTGGGCCACCATGCCCAGCTAGGATATACTTTATGTAAACTAAATGGTTTTATCTTATTTCAGGTTGTGTTATCAAAATTTGTTCGGCAGATGGGTGACCTGCTGCCTCCAACTATCTATATTCCTTACTTGAAAATGCTCCAGGGATTGGCGAATGGGCCTCAGTGTGCCCACTACTGCTTCAGCCTGCTCAAAGTCAATGGTAGTAGTCATGGTAAGGAAAGTCTGACATTGTTGAAAATTCTGTAGCAGTTTTGAGGTTAATGTCTTACTTGTTAGTAAAGAACATTGGTTATTTGTGCTGGATTCTACCAGAGGTGTGAATTGCTTTTGCAGTAACAGAAGGAAAGAAGAACACTGGTTGCCTTGTGCACAGTAATGCTCTGATTATGTCTTACATATTGGAGAATTTTGCCATCCCTATTATAAAATACAGGGATGTCACAAATCGTAGTTAATATTTATATATAAAATTCCAAGAACATATCTGATACACAAAGCAAAGTGTATACCTTGCCATATACATTTGATTAATTTGTCTTCATAAAAACTTTTTTTACATTTTTTTCTTAGGGCCAGGGATATAACTCAGTGGCACAGTGCCTGCCTGGCAAGCACAAGGTCTGAGTTCGATTCCTGGCACCAAAAAGAAAAAGAAAGTAAATTTTTCTCTTGACTTTATCCCAATTTCCTCACTTAATTTTCAGATACAGGTCTGATTAAAACAAAAATACTGCAAAAGAAAAGTATAAGTGCATGTTTGTTAAGTAGCCATTACTTTCCTTTTTACTTGTGAAGAACTGCGGCTTCGAGAAGTTATCTAAGTTACTCTGGTAACAGGTCACTGGGGAGCCACCCTGGGCTCCAGAGCCGGTGTTTGGACTGCGCTGTCAGGGCTTGTCTGCCTTGTATGCTATGCTCTTGTTCCTGTCCTTGGAATGTGATGGACTGATAATTTACAGATCTAGACCACCACTCTCTCTTTGGGAATTCAGGCTCAACATTTGTGACTTATCTTTTGGGAAAACCAGCCCTGTGTAGGTATTGACAGCACAAAGAGCTCTTCGGCCTGTGAGGCGAGTAAGTAACATGCAAAGTAGTTTATATTTCCACGGACACGACCCCATCATTAGCTCTGAGGGAAAATGAGTGCCGAGGATTTTCACCCTTCGGGAAACCGCATACGTAGGCCAGACAACACACTGCTTATCTAGGACAAAGATTGCACTTGTGCTAAGACAAAGGCAAACAAAGTTTGTTACACATTTTCTCTGCTTTTGAGCAAATGTCTATTTCTGGAAAACAGTGCTGTGCTGCCTTTTTTTACAGTTGAAAATATCCAGGGAGCAGGTGGCAGTCCGGTTTCCTGGGAGCACTTCTTTCACTCCTTAATGCTGTACCACGAGCACCTTCGGAAGGACCTCCCCAGCGCAGACAGTGTCCAGTACCGCCACCTCCCTTCACGCGGCATCACCCAGAAGGAGCAAGATGGCCTGATTGCCTTTCTGCAGCTCACATCCATCATCATCACTTGGGTGGGCAGCCCCTCCACTGCGTTGTTTATATTCTAGCACCATGGCATTTGAGGGGCTGGACATTCCTTCTAATACTCAGAGTTCATGAGTGCTACATTTAGCATTTTTTCTTTATTGGTTTTCTTGACCTTGGAAGGTATAAATTGTGGTATCCTTGCTTACCAGCATCATCTTCGTATGAAAATAAGGGCCTTAACATGAAAGACGTAGTCACAGGGGCAAGTAAGAATCAGATTTTAGCAATATATTAACCATCGTTACCCTCCTGTTACCTTGTTTTGAATTTTCTTCTTTGTTAAAAAAAAAAAAAGATCAGTTGTTGGATGTGCATCCTTCCAGAAGGTTTTCTAGAGTAGGTGTGGAGGCGGTGGTGGGGCACATGGGCAAGCATGTGTGTGTGTTTGTGTGTGTGTACACAGAATGAATAGCTTTAATTAGAAAAATTATTTAAGGCGTTTTTTTCTCCTTATACCAAACCATTTTACTTGTTACTACTAAGTTAGTCTTTTTGGAAAACATTACTTTCATTACATGATTTTCCAACTTAGAAAAATCTCAGTTGTTTCTGTCATTCACGAGTGCAACGTTGTTACTCCATCTGTTTTCTCTGAAAGTCAGCATTAATCCTGTCCTAAAACAAGCTAGAATTACCAAATTTTTTATTATATCTCATTGAATTAAAATGAAATTATACCTGATTCCATATATGGTATTGTATCTTCATTTTTTTTTTTTTTCCTCAGAAAAGACAAGGTATTTATTCATTCATGGATTCTGTTACAGTGTAAATATTAGCTGTTCCAGAAAGGATTTTCAGAGTGTAGGTAAGATTTATGTGACCCTGGCAGATCCTTTATTTCTGTTTATAGCATTATTTTCCGTATGTGGATCTGCAAAGGTAGTTCTATGAGAGCTGTTTCTTCTCCTTTCTTTACAGTACCCAAACTAGTGATGTAGTTTGATCCCCTGGCAGACTTTAAGCATAAATGATAGGCTTTTCTTTGTTTCATTTTATATCGAACCTGTGCAGGCTCAGTATAAATGCTAGCTGCTTAAATGGTTGCTGGTCATTTTTCTTAGCTCTTAGAAATGGAAAGCCAGATTCGGTGGATGTGCCTGTAATCCCAGCTGTGTAGGAGGCTGAGGCAGGAGGATCACTTGAGCCCAGAAGTTGGAACTCAGCCTGGAAAAACGTAGTCATACCTCATCTCAAAGATAAAATAAAAACAGGAAGTCTCGTTCTTCTTGTGCTCAATTCCCAGAGTGAAAATGCTCGTCTGGCACTCTGCGAACATCCTCAGTGGACGCCCGTTGTGGTGATACTGGGCCTCCTGCAGTGCAGCATACCTCCTGTTCTAAAAGCTGAGCTGCTAAAGACACTCGCTGCCTTCGGGAAGTCCCCTGAAATTGCAGCCTCCCTGTGGCAGTCGCTGGAATATACACAGGTACACTCACTGAAGGCCCCGTGCATGTTACTTGGAAAGTGAACCTGATGATACCGTAGACATCAGGGCATCTGACTGATCAGGACTCACACCGGGAACTTCCCAATTACAAAGTTAAGCTTGCGGGGGCCAAGCATAGCATCAGAAGCTGTTTGGCTTGGGTTTCTGTCTAATTGTAATTGACAGCCTTACTCGGTTACCAGAGACTGAGCAGTTCTTCAGATAACCCTCTTAGGATTGTATTTTCCGACGTCTGTAAGATATTTCTAAATGAACAGAACCTGCAAACCTTTCAGCTAGTACAAGCTTTCAGAAGTCATCTGTACTCATTAGATGTATGAAGTGTCTATTTTTCTTTTCTGCTCCTTTTTTTCTGTGCCTTTCTTGTCTAAGCAGGGAATGAAATAGCTGTGAAGCTGTGTGTCATCATGGGGCTTGTTTTTCCATTAAAGGGTGGATCCAACTGTTTGCCAAGTTTGCAGAGAAAAATTTTTTTTTTCTGGTACCGGGAATCGAACTCACAACCACGCACTTGCCAGGCAGGCGCTGTGCTGCTGAGCTAAATCCCCAGCCCCTGCAGAGAAATTTAAACAAAAGTCAGAGGACTCTCTTGGTGGTTATGAAGGCTCATAGACAGAACCATAAGCTTTGAGAATGGGAAAGTATAGAAAGTGAGCATATGATAGCAGAGTTCTTTGACTACTTCAAACTTAGGGAATGCCTGGGTTATATGTTTGGGCTCTGAATGCATTTTTCTTCTCTAAATGTAAGCTGTTGGAATTTTTGTATCACAGCTAGTTTCTTCTGGGTGATGAAGTGAAAAAGGAAGTGAGGATACACTTCGTAGCAGTACCTGTGGTGAAATAGTCGGGCAGAATATGTGTCTGTTTTGGGGGCCTGTGATTCTAAGTCATTCACAGAAGCAGCCATTTCAAAGTAGTACAGTATTATAGATTATTTTGTAACAGGTATCCTGAATGAAGATACTAACGATACCATGTAAAACAGTTAATGGAGTTGGTGTGTGAGAGGCTGAGTCACTTTGGGCTCCCTACTGATACTCCCCATTTTGATTCACGAATATACCAGGACTTAGTACTGTCCTCCATACATATTGCTGCTTTAGCCCTGACATGAAATGTAATTGGGTCCTTAGAGCAAACGCTGTCGCTTTTTATAGGAGTCTGCCTTACGGTGTACTCTTCGTTAGAGGAGCGTGAAGGATGACCAGTATAATTTATTGCAGATAGTCTGGCCCTGTAGGGAGGATAGGACAGAACATCTCAACTCGGAACTTACTCTCACTTTCAGAAATCTATTCTTAGTGAAGTGTGCTTGTTGGTTTGAATAAGGCTGGTTGTAAACAGAATAGTGTCTAGAACACTGGTGAGATTTCATCCTGTAAATCATCTTAAAGATTCATTCTTGGAAAATCTGAGAGAAAATTGACTGAAAAAGGTCTAATGTGCTGTTAGAAACTCTTGAGTTTTTTACATCAAGCAATATTGGGAACTCTGTTTGAATTGCTGTTGAAAGGCCGTCAGGGACTCTTCCTCTGTCATTTCTCTTGGCCCCTGTGAGAAGTGTGGGTATGGTGGGTGAGGTGTAGGACTGTCACATTGCACAGCTGCTGCTGCCCTTTGACAAATGCAGAATGCTTCTGACATCTACTTCTTATGTTTTAAGATACTGCAGACTGTCAGAGTTTCAAGCCAGAGGCAAGCTATTGGTATTGAGGTAAAGTTTTCCTTTAGTTTTAAATGCTATATTCATTCATACATGTACCAATAAAAAGAATCTGGAAAATTATTCTTACTCCATTAAGTTTCTGTAACTTTCAAATTTAGTGTGGTTACATTTGCAGAGTTTTCTGATCATTGTTGAAAGGGAGAGGAAACTCTTAGTGAAAGAAACCAAAATATTTAATGTTTCAAAATTGGAAAAGGATGTTGAGTGGCAGTCATCCAAACTCTCACAGTCGTGTTTTCAAGTTAATTAGGTCACTTGAGTCAGCCTGATGTGACAATTATTTTACTTTCTGTTCTCAGTCTTTTTTAAACACACATTTAAGGTTTCTCTTTAATTCAAGGTAGGGCCAATATGTGCGAATTTGAAATTATTCCATCTGACTCATCTGCATTGATATAATAATACTTTTGTGTCTCTCAGTGAGAAGAGGTAATATCTATTCTAACTTCAGTGTGATATAGAGCTATTAATAAGTTAATGTCTGCAAAATGCTGTGCACATCAGGGCTGACAGTTTGATATTACCATTTTTTTTTTCTTTGAAGGTTGAACTGAATGAAATAGAATCACGGTGTGAAGAATACCCATTGACTCGGGCCTTTTGCCAGCTTATTAGTACCCTGGTCGAGAGCTCATTTCCTTCCAATTTGGGCGCTGGGCTACGGCCTCCTGGCTTTGACCCTTACTTGCAGTTCCTCAGAGACTCTGTGTTTCTCCGATTTCGCACAAGAGCTTACCGGAGAGCGGCTGAAAAGGTTATGTTCAGAGAAACTTTTCTCTTCCTATTCATTTACTGTTGCTTTTACTTTTTTCCATGGGGTAAAGGGCTGTAAATTCATTTTAGTTTTCAAGTGAGTGAAAAATTAGTCTTAATTCTGAACATTCTGTGGTTGGACTAATTTACGTACATTAAAAATAAGTTTGGGCATTACAATCAAAGCACCAACATTTTAGTGGTCAGTAGTGTAACTGATAAAAAGTTCATAGTCACGTCCTTCACTGAACAAATTTTGACTAAAATTGGACCGGAAATATTACACCTTTGTTTGAAACACACTGCTGCCCCTTGTTGGGATGATCTAGGTTAGGAATTGAAATGAGCTGAGACTTGCACTCCAGTTTCTGTTAGCATTCCCGGGTTGTGGCCTGTTGGCATAGAGGGAAGGAGTGTCCTCACCCCTTAGGTTTGGCTGACAGCGTTGCAGCTCAGGGAGCACTGACATGTCCATATTGGTGGTAATTGTAAGACACCACCAACTTCATCATACATTTCGATGTGTGTAATTCCAGTGTTACTTTGATTTTGGTTTTTGGTTTTCGGTTTTTTTTTCTGGTACCGGGAATGGAACTCACGACCTTGCACTTTCCAGGCAGGCGCTGTGCCGCTGAGCTAAATCCCCAGCCCCTCCAGTGTTACTTTGAGGCAGGTACTATTAATATTCCCATTTTATAGGTGGAGACTTAGCAAAATGAAGGAGCTTGGTTAAGTCCCAGGACTAGGATTTGAACCTAAGACTCTGATCCCAGAACCAAGCTTGTAACCACTAAGCTGTGTAAGAGACCCTTCAGGTGCTGATGTTACTTACTTTAGTCTATAACACTGCTTATTACCTCACAGAATACCTTTGGGTGTGTGTTGTAGGAACACTTCTGCTTTATTATTATAGTTTGCTGTTTTTGAACTTACTGGGTTTTTATTATTGTAGTATTAGTGATTATAAAAATAGCTTAGTTCATGCTAATTTGGGACAGTTTGGAAAATACAGAATAATAAGAAATTATATCACTCATAACTTTGTTGGCAAAAGAAGGATAATTACTTCTAGTCTACTGAATGTGCACGTATAATAATACTTGACATAGCTTTATTACTTTGTATTCGTTTTTCATCATTTCACATGGTGAAGATTTTTCATGCAAGTAGAGATTGTTTGAAGTCTTAGTGACTACTATACGTCGTTTCCATTATTTGTATCTAGTTTCTGTGATCATAGGTTGTTTTACAAATAACTGAAGTTCATTTTTTGTCAGTTGTTTTTATAATTTTTATTCCCTTGTAAAAATAGATACTGAGAGAAACTTTATTTAAGCTCTGGAAGTACCTCATTAACATAAATTTCCTAATCTGATAAATAGCAACTATGCCTCATTAGTAAAAGTCATTTCAGATAATGCCTAGTGATATGAATAAGTAGTGAGTGTTGATCTTGCAGTGCCTTTAAGAAAATGTGCAGATGCTTCTTTGTACTTTCTTAAAATGTCTTTTCTGCTTTTTCTGGAAAAGGTCAGTATGACCTGGGTGTTTAGAGCTTTTGTCAGCCCTGATCTTCCCAGATGTCTTACTTTTGCCCAGGCATAGCTATACTTCAAGAGCTGCTGCCTTCTGAGGCTGCTGTTGATTTCAGTTCCATGCTCACGTATTTACCCTAAAAAACTTCCACATAGTTTTTAGAATTTATTGTATTTGGAGATCTTTTTGAGTTTAACTTACATATTTTAGGGCAGTGTCTTCTCACAGAAATAGGCTTTGGATTGAGATAAGCAATAAATATTGAACTTTAGCTGGGTATTGGTGGCTCACGCCTGTAATCCTAGCTGAGTACTCAGGAAGCGGAGGCAGGAGGATGGCCATGACTTCAAGGCCATCCTGGGCTACAAAACCCTGTCTTAAAAACAAAATGAAACAAACAAAAACCCCAAAACAAAACAAAATATTGAGTGTTAGAGGCAATGTGTATGTTTGTCCATCCTGAAGTCCATTATTATGTTACAATACACCATTTTTATTTAAATGAACTTCCTTAAAAATTTTGGAAAATACAAAAAGTAAATAATTTCCACATAATGATTAAAAAGCTACCCTAAAGTCCCATGATAAAACCTGGACTCTTGACAAAATTTTGTATGGTGGAAATAATGATTCCAAACAGTAATTTAAAAAGCCAACCCGTATACAGTAACTAAAACTAGTCTTACTGCATTTTATGGATTTATTTGATTTGATTTCATTCTTTTGAATCCCAAAACAGGACCTGCAGTTCTGAGCCTCTTTGGAGTCTGCTAACTGCTTATTGAACACTTCGTGCCTGCTGCACTCAAAGTACAGTCCCCTCGGCTCTCAACTTGTGCAGCTTCTCTGTGCTCAGGCTGTCCTTTCCCAAGCCCTTCGGTCGCACTGTCTCGTACTTCACAAGCCACTCACTCAGTGTTTCCCCATTTCCAGTCTTTTTTTTTTTTTTTTTTTCTTTGAGACAGGGTTTTACCATGTAGTTCAGGCTGCCCTTGAACTCACTATATAGGCCTAGCTGGCTTTGAACTCACAGCAAACCTCCTGCCTCAGCCTCCCAAGTGCTGGGATTACAGGTGTACGCATTTCCAGTCTTGACTCTTCCACTCCTTCCTTCCATATCCAGTCTGGTTTAGGTACCTTTCTAAAGTCTTCCAAAGGCCCTGTCCTCTCTAGCTATAGTCTAGTCCAGAGTTTTAATGATTGATGATTGATGGTCACTTTTTTTTTTTTTTTTTTTTTTTTTTTTTTTTTTTTTTTTGTGTCTTTTTGAGACACGGTCTTGCTATGCAGTTCAGGCTGGCCTTGAACTCACTATGTAGCCCAGGCTACCCTTGAACTTGCAAAGATCCTCCTGCCTCAGCCTCGGGGAGTGCTGGGATTACAGACATGTGCCATCACACCCAGCTTTTTTTTGTTTTTATTTTTGTGGTACATGGCTTTTAAATTCATATCTAACAAGGAGGTGGTAATGGGGTAATTTGGAGCAAGCCTATGAGTGATTGTATCGACCATTTGTGACTGTTAAGAGTTAAATACCTGAGCTTGACTGCCACCTGGTTTGCAGCCAGGCTGTAGGGTCTTGGGGTGTTCAGTCACTGCTCTGAGCTTTATTTTTGAAATTACAAGGGCTAGATGAGATGATTTCTCAGACCCTTTATAGCTGAGATTTTTTTTTTTTTTTTTTTGGTGTCAGGAATCAAACTCAGGGCCTTGTGCTTGTCAGGCAGGCAGTGTGCCGCTGAACTACATCCCCTGTGCAGCTGAGATTCTTAAGAGTGAAATATTTGACCCCTCAAGAAATCTGTTGTTATTTAGATTTGTTAATGAATCCAAGCCTCTCCTGTAGAAATGTTTCTTTTTTGTTGGTTTGTGGTTGTTTGTTTGAGACAGGTTTTTGTCAGGTAGTCTATGGCTGACAGTGAGCTTACTATGTAACCCAGGCTAAGTCTCAAGCTTGTGATTCTCCTGTCTCAGCCTCTTGAGTGTTGTGATAACAGGCGTGTACCACCATGCCTGACTTAGAAGTGTTTCTTCAGTAATACTTTAAAAGATACTTTATATGGAAAATGAGCTAATACATTATCCTTCAGCAACCTATAGCAATATGATTTAGGCCTTCTCTGTTAATTTGTGTAAGTTAAGAGATGAGGGACTTTACTCATTTTCTGGAGGAAAAAATAGGAATTCAAAGTATAGTGAGGTTATTACCTTGGACTGTTTGTTACTGAAATACTCATTTCTTTCTGTAGTGGGAAGTTGCTGAAGTTGTTCTGGAGGTGTTTTATAAACTACTCAGAGATTATGAGCCTCAGCTTGAAGATTTTGTAGACCAGTTTGTGGAGCTACAAGGTAATTTCTGTAATTTTTCAGAGGCAATGCCAGCTATTTATAAAGCTTTTTTTTAATAAAGCTGTTTTTAATTTATAAATTATGTACATTTTATGTAAAATTTATACTTCTGAGTTTAATTGGAATTTAGACTTTTATTTCACTGTTTTAATCATTTTAATGTTATGTTCAAGAGAAAATAAAATAAAATTTTACTGATGCAAGAACGAGAGCACTGTATTATAGGTTCTTCAATGCGTCACCTATAAAGGTGACTCACTGCCATGTGTAGATGAGAATTTTTGCTCTGTGGAGCTGGTGTCACCATCTCTAAATTGAAACTTGCCTTCCTCTAGTTAGAGCCCATTTAATTTATAGATATACATTTCATAGAAATCAGAGGCATGGCAGTTTCCTAGTGCCCCACCTTCTGGACTGCATTATGTTGTTTAGGAGAAGAAATCATGGCCTATAAGCCGCCTGGCTTCAGTCTGATGTATCATCTTCTGAATGAGTCTCCGATGCTGGAACTTGCTCTTAGTCTGCTGGAAGAAGGAGTGAAGCAGCTTGATACCTATGCCCCTTTTCCTGGTATGTGCCTCAAAGACTTCAGTTTTGTCATTTTCGTTTTGTGTAAACTGAGTTTGAAATAGATGATCTCTGAAGTTCTTTTTCACTGAGAACATCTCTGTATCCACAGTGGTGTTTCCACTGTCATTTAAAGGGGGGCATTTTAAGTGAAAACAGAATCAAACCTAGACTGTCGCTGTAACTGCATCTCATTGGAGGGCCTTTAAAATTTTTTTATTAGTCCACGTTTGCAGTGCGTAATGATTACATTCACTGTGTGGACTTCGGACTTGTACATGACACAGTACGTGACATGTCTTTTTTTTTTTTCCCCTCACTTCCTCTCCTTGCTGTCCGTCTCTTAGCCCCCTTCCCATTTGCAAAGATCTACCTTCCTACCTGTTACCTATCTTGTATTCTGCTCCTTGGGTTATTTATACTTCTGGGTTTGCTCGTGTGTCTGCTTTATTTCATTTAACATTATGGTCTCAGTTACTTTTCTTATTGCTGAGACAAAATACCTGGCACCCAAAGTTAAAGGAGGAAAGGTTTATTTGGCTCACAGTTTGTAGAAGTTTTAGTCCATAGTCAGCTGGCTCCAAGGCAGAGTGCCATGGTAGAGGGCATTGCAGAGGAGAAACAATTCATGGCAAAGCAGGGCAGGCAGAAGGCATCAAGCAACAAATGGCAACCTCTTTCTGTCCTTTATATTCCATATAGGCTACCTTCTCTTAGGGCGAGTAGCACTCACAGCCAAGGTGAGGCATCTTTAATCTTACCCAGAACTGGGCCAAACCAATCAGCGGATTAATTTAGCAATCACACACACTTAATCTCACCATCACACACTAGATCCAGCCACCTCTGAAAAGCCCCACCTATGACTGCATGAGGCTTTGGAGACACATCTAGATATAAGCCATAACAGCTCTCAGGTGCATCCACTTTTCTACATGATTCATATTTATCCTTTATGGCAGAGTAGTATACCATGGTATGTGAATACCACATTTTCTTTACCCATTCATTTGTTGATGGACATACAGGCTGCTTCCAGGATTTAGCTATTAGGAGTTGTGCTGCTATAAACAGGTATATATCATTGTAATGTAACACATGTATCACAAGCATATGTCATTATAGTATGATGTCTTCACCTCTTTTGGGAAGCAGGGCCTTATAGGTAATTAAAATTATCTTTGGTATCACTTTCCCCCTTTTAATATATCTAACTTTTTAGATCTGAAGTTCTTTTTTGTTTTCTCCATAATACCTGCAAAAGCACTTACTATAGTGCTTGTACAGTATTCAATAAATTTAATGTTATTATCATGAATATTTATTGAGTACTCAGTTTCCATTTGACTCTTGAAAGCATGTTATGTGTATGAATACATTTGATCTCGGGAGACCTTATGTGGGAGGCCTTACTTCCATGTAATAAATAAGGGAATTGAGGCAGAAAGTTTGTGCCGACTTCATGCAGCAAATGTGAGATCTGGGCTTGGGACTGAGACCACTAGATTCCAGAGCCCTTGCTTTGTACAGTTGTCTGTTTAATGTAGCTATGATCTCAAAGAGAAAAGACGGACTCTGAACATTGCAATTACGACTGTAATCCGAGTTAAAAAGTAAGAAAGCATGGAAAGAATTAGGTCACAGCTTTAAGTTGGAAAGATGGGATTACAGGTGAGCTTGTCTATATTTTCTGCTGCTTTGTTTTCTTTTTCTTTTGGTCTTTTTTGAGACAAGGTCTCTCAGTGGAGTTCAGACTGGCCTTGAACTCACGTTGTAGCCCAGGCTGGTCTCAAACTTGCAATGATCCTCTTGCCTCAGCCTCCCAAGTGCTGGGATTATAGGCGTGCACCATCATGCTTGGTTTGCTTCTTTGTTTTCTGTAGTAATTATGTCTTCCTCAAAATCAGTTTCTTAACCTTGACACTGTTGACAGTTTGTGATACCAATAATAACCCAAGGAGCAGAATATAAGATACCAAACCATTCTTGTGATACTGTCTGGTGTGTTTTAGGCTTCTGTCCACTAGATGCCAGTTGTACTTCCCCGATTGGGACAGATGTGTCCAGGCACCTTCAGCTGTTCTCTGGGGCCACATCCCCTCCGTGTGAGAAGCACTGCTTTAAAGGATCAGGGAAAAGAGAAGCTGTTCAGTGAAAGTAACCTGGGTCAGAGAGTAACTATGATTTATGCAGTTGAATGGTTCTGTGACGTTGTTGGTCAAAGTTTGAAAAATGAAGACCTTTTGAATCTAACACTTTTCTTTTATCTTACTTTCCTGAGTACTGAAAGTGAGTTGCTGAGACTCACTTAGAAATTCCGAACTCCATTTTGGGTTATAGGGAAGAAACACCTGGAGAAAGCAGTGCAGCATTGCCTTGCACTCCTCAACCTTACTCTGCAGAAGGAAAATCTCTTTATGGATCTTCTGAGAGAAAGTCAGCTGGCTCTCATAGTTTCTCCCTTAGAGCAGCTGCTGCAGGGAATTAACCCCAGAACGAAGAAGGCAGACAATGTGGTAAACATTGCCAGGTAAGTGACATTTGCAGGGTAGAGAAATGCAGTAATGAATTGAATCAGACAGTCTGGCTTTGTGTTCTAAATCTTGTTGGATATCAGATGCATCACTTACTATTTTTTAGCCTCTTTTGAGTCTTGCTTTCTTAGACTCCTCTGGTTTTAATAACTCTGAACTTACCAGTCCCATCTTACTAATTTAGTTTACGCTGTGTCCTAAAAATCTGTAAGTCTAAAGAGACCAGATATTTTTTGTTTCCACCTCTAGGGAAACCGATGCCTGGAGGATAGTGTGTAGGAAGAAAATCTCCCTCTCCCCCCACCTTCCGCCCCTCTCCTCCCTTTTTCCATCGCGCCCTCTCTCCCTCCTTCCCTATCTCTCTCGCCTTTCCTTTCGCCTCCCCTGTCTCCATATGTACTAGCTTTCTGCCTCCTTGGTGTTCATGGCTTGCTTCAGATTAACCTAGTGAGTCCTTGTGCATGTGCTGTGTACACATCTTCCCTTTCTTGTGAGCTCGCAGTTCTGTTCTGTTAGGGCCCCCTTCGTGACCTCATCATAACTGTATTGGCTGCATATGCAAAAACCCTAAACAAGGTCACTAGGAACTACGATTTTCAACATAGGAATTTTGGAGGGACACGTTTCATGCTAAAGCCGTTTCTAGCTAGAAGAGGGCACCCTTTTCCAATTTATCTACGGTGCTGTATGGGCAGGGGAATAGTAAGAAGCCACATCTGATCACGTTGTTCTCAATGTTTTCTGTTCCAAAGATATCTGTATCATGGGAATACGAATCCGGAACTGGCTTTTGAAAGTGCCAAGATCCTCTGCTGTATCTCATGCAACTCCAACATTCAGATAAAATTGGTTGGTGATTTCACACATGACCAGGTAACTGATTTTGTTCCTGTTGGTTTTGGTGCATTTTGGCACAAGTGATGATATCCATGGAGAAATGATATTCTTGTTTCTGGAAGAATTCTTTAAGAGTTAATATGTTTATAAAAGACGGGAAACGCCTGCTCATTGTTTAGCTGTGATTTGTCTTGGAAGCTCAGAGCATTCACAGTAATGCTACATGTATACTATGCATACTGCAGTGTGTGGCTGTGTAGCCTATGGTGTGGCTGCTGCTCTAAGCATATTTGAAATGATTGTTGGTGGTTGCAAATTCTGTTTGTGTTCTGCTCCCTGCCTGTCAGTTGTTGCGGTTCAGGATGTGTCTCACCATCGTGAGTGTTCCCTTCTGTGGTAGCCTTGTGAGCCACGTCTGTGCTATGGGCTGCCATGGGCTGCCACCTTGGAGAGTGTTTAAAGTGTTCCTCTTTCAACACTATTCATAGTAGTTCTACTTTTGGTCACTGAATAGCTATAGCTGGAGAATCTGCTCCTTGTTTCTTAAGCATTTACTTACGGTGTCTTTGTGTGGGAAATGACTGCTCTAGCCAAAGGATTTTATTTGTGTTGTCTTGCATAGTGTTTAAAACAAAAGCTCTGATGCTTTGGGTGGGACAGATCTTTATTTTGTGGGTAATTGTCCCTGATGCTGCAAAACCTTTGACATCACTGGGTCTCCTGCTCACTACCTGTTAGGAGAACCTCTAATTGTGGCACCTTCTAATGGCCCCACATCTTTTTAGGTGCCTTCTGGGTGGTACCACCCACGTTGAGAACCACTGTTTATAGCGGGCATAACCATCTAGTTGAGAACCACTGTTTATAGGAAGTATAGATGTCTAATCAGTGGCTTTGGAATAGGGCTCATGATACCATGTGATAATCAAGGCATCCTGAAGATTCTTGGTTTCTTGACATTTATTTTAGTATGCAGTATTACTGATTTTAACATCTGCTTGATTTCTTTTTTTTTTCTTCTTCCTTTTTTAATTTTTCAGTTTTGAGACAGGATCTTGCTAAGTTGCCCTGGCTGTCTTTGAACTTGCACTTGTGATCCCCCTGCCGTAGCCTTCCAGAGTGCTGGGGTTATAGAAGTGCACCACTGTGACTAGTGGATCCTACTGATTTTTGAGGGAGAAATTAGCCAAAATATATAAAACTTTTAACGAGTAATACATTTCTAAGAAGATGATGAAAATTTTATTTTATATTTTAGTTATAATCTCATAACATTGAGTACATAATGAAGATACTATGAAACACATTTAATATTTTTAAAATACTAATTTGATTCTTAGGGGAGAAAATTAAGTGAAGCAAATTTTGACAGCAATGAACTTTTTGTTTTTTCATTTGTATAGATATCTGACATAATGTAAGATAGAGTTTTCTATTTATTAAAAGTATAACTAGAACCTAAATACTTGGAACAGCTTTGCCTTTTTTTAAAACAGACAAATGGATATAAGTATACTGTATTTATTAAATTTTCTTTAGTACTTAGAAGCTTTATATTAATTTTATCATTTTTCTGTCCACCTGTGTTTAGAGTGTAAGCCAGAAACTGATGGCTGGATTTGTGGAATGTTTGGATAATGAAGATGCAGAAGAATTTGTACGTCTGGAAGAGGGTATGTCTCATATTAACTGCATGTTTTATGAAAATGTATATGGCTTTTAGGATTTTCCTTTAAGAGATCAACCAGTATAATGGCTAATGAAGTAAACTGGAATAAAGAAAACATAGAGGGTTGGAATACTCTTTTTTCCTAGGACTGGGGATTGAACCCAGGGCCTTCACACTGAGCTATATCTTCATCCCTGTTTTTAGTGTTTGAGACTGGGATGCAGCTTTGGACCCTCCTGCCTCTGGCCCACAGTGCTAGGATTACAGGAATATGCCACCACACAGCTGGAATACATGGTTTATATTTTTAAACTTGATACGTTAACTTTTAATTGTGTTTTGTGATGAAGGATCAGAGCTTGAAAAGAAATTAGCTGCAATTCGTCATGAAACAAGAATCCACATCTTGAATCTTCTCATAACTTCTCTGGAACGCAGTCCACCCAGCCTTGCTCTCTACCTGTTGGGCTTTGAATTGAAGAAACCTGTCAGTACCACTAATCTGCAAGATCCAGGTATAGACATAAGACATATGGGTATGTATTTGTTTTCCTATTTGTGTATCTAAGTAGTCATTTTTGAATTCTGGGCCCATAACATGAAAAGTAATATATGGATTAGTCTTTAGGACTTAGATCAATACTGGAGAAGCATAGCTTTGGAGAGTTGACATTTGTCACTTTTCTCTATCAGTATTTGAAAAAGTTGTTCAGTAGAACATATGTTTACAGATTTTTACTTTTTTATGTGTATTTTGAAGTACCAGGGTTTGAACTAGGTCTTCACTTAAGGGAGGCAAGTGTTGTACTGCTGAATTACTCCATACTGCCTTTGGGTGGTACTGGGGATTGAACACAGGGCCTTTGCACTGAGTTACATCCCCAACCCTTTATAAAACAATTTTTTAATTTTGATACAGTGTGTTGTTTAGTTTCTCAGGCTGGGCTGAAACTGTGCTCTTCCTGCCTCAGCCTCCCAGATGGTTGGGATAGCTGACATATGCCACCATGCCTGATGGCTCTGGCCCTTTCTAAATTGTATTTTGAGACATGGAATCATGAAGTTGCCCATGCTGGCCTCAAATTGCAGTCTTTTTGCCTCAGCCTGCCAGGTAGCTGGGATTAGAGGTGCATGTCACCTGCTCTAGAATTTGACTTTTGTAAAGGCCATCACTCCAAGGTTTCTAAATGCAGAGTTTCTACCAGACGCAATGAATTCTTCTTGGGTTTCATCTAGGAGTGCTAGGTTGCCCTCGGACGTGTCTGCATGCTATCCTGAACATCTTGGAGAAAGGGACGGAAGGGAGAATGGGCCCAGCGGCAGCGCGGGAGTCTCCTCAGCTGGCAGAGCTGTGCTACCAGGTAGGAAGGAGGACGCGCTCTGTAGTGTTAGGTAGAAGAGGCTGGGTCACGCTCCAGTCCACTCCCAGTGTGGGAGTAAAGCATGTGACTAGTTTTCTGCTTATGGATAAAAATCGATAAAGCACAGACCCCAAGATCTTACAAACCTAAAGACCCTAATCGCTTGGACAGAGAGGAAATTAGAGGAAAGCACTCTCAGGACCACGCCCACCACGGGGTCCTGGTTATGATGTGGGAAGTCAGGTGAACCTAAGGCTGCAGTTATACTGAGGACTCATTCACGTTCATATCTCGCATCATGTATTTTTACCAGGTAGTATACGAACCCTGTAATAGTAAGAACTCTCCAGATATATTTATGGTAGCTTTTCCTGGCAGCAAGAGCAGGACTTGTAAGTGTGTCTTTGGGTCCCATCTCTGCCCCATGACACCTTGAGTGCGCTGTGCGACCCCTCTGGATCTGAGCTTGTAATCCGGGGAGTGGGCTGTTGTGAAACTTACAGAGAATGGAAGTGAAAGCACTCTCAGGGCCACGCCTACCATGAGGTCCTGGTTATGATGTGGGAATTCAGGTGAAGCTAAGGCTGAAGTTATACTGAGGACTCATTCATGTTGATATCTTGTGTCATTCAGTGTGTGTGCTTTAATAACCAGACTTCCTAAGACAGGACTGCTTTCTCAGTCTAAGTACACATTGATTCACGTTGCTGTCATGTCATCATGAGCCTCTTAGTGACGGGGAGACGTTTCTTTCTTACTCTCTTTATTTTTAAATGTGTCCCTGTTTTCTTCAGTCTCCACTTCGTCCACACCCTTTCACTGTAAACACTACAGCTAGGTCTGTTGTGAGTCAGCTCTTCCTTCCTGGGGGAGCAAATGTGTGCATTTGACTCAGTGCTGCCAAATTTGACACGTAAGCAGAAGCAACTGGTAAGCTTAATCATCTGCCCCAGGCAGGTGGAGTAAGTGAATGGAGCCGGCTGGAGTCAGCAAGGGAGGGACAGGGTGAGCTGGCTGCCCGGAGAGCGTGCGCCTTACTCCTCAGCTCCTCGTTTTTAGCATTCCAGAAGGTTTTGCCAGATTTTATTAATTTTTAAGAAAGGTAGAAATCCAAATTTTTGTGAAATTTTTTCTAATTTTTGGGACATTGTACTGTCGAAACAGAACATTACACCAGTAGTCTACCAATTTATAACATACGCTCTGTGATGCTGCTACTCACAATAAGGTCTGGAGTTAGCATCATTAGCATCTTCTCCTGGAGGTTTATAGTACTGCAGAATCTCAGGCCTCATGTTTGACCTAAGTCAGAGTGTGTATTTTTACAAGAAAACGCCTTCCATTTTTAATGAAAGCTATTTCATACACCTGTAGGTTTGTACCTTACCTAAGTTCAGAAATAAACTTAAACCTGTAAAACAAGCTTGTTAGCTGGATGTGGTGGCACACATCTCTAATCCCAGCACTCGGGAGGTTGAGGGAGGAGGGTCGCTGTGAGTTCCTGTCAGCCTGAACTATATAGAGAGACCAAAAACAACAACAAAATACAGATGAGCATGTTAGTTTAAGAAAACCTGATCGTACCAAAGGGAAATTATTGGAGGCTTTTCTTTCTTACTTTGTACTTTTGCTTCCTTTCTTTAAGGTTGCAGATATTTCCTGTCTCAGGAACTAGGAGGGGTCCCATTGAGTATACATTAGTACAATGGCTGTGCTTTTTGTGGTTTTTTTTTGTTTTTTGTTTTCTGTCATTTTGAGCACAAAAATGGAGAAAATATGCTCAAAAAGACCATGTTAGAAACCCTTGCTTGCAGTTGAGAGCTGGAGTAAGAAGGCAGAGTGGTGCTTTAATTGCTTGTGAGTTGGGTAGCTGAAAGCCTGTCCCCGTGAGTGCCTGCAAAAGCACTCGAAGCGTGATTTGGGGCTTATAAGTCAGTTTTAGCACATAGACAAATTCATGTGTATGGAATCTCTGAATAAAGAGCATGGATTATGTTGACATCTCTACATAAAAAGTATTGATGATGTTGGGTCAAAAGATATTAACCGTTTTATGACTTCAAGTTTTAACTCTCAAATAACCGTGTCACACTATTTGTCAAGTGTGCCAATAATAGAAGAGCCTTAAAAACCTGCTACATAGAAAGCACTTAATAATGAATTATTTATAAAGTGAATCACTCATGAATGAAAGTTTCCACTGCCACCTAGCCAAATACTGAGATTTGCATTTTACAACTAGAAATTTTGATGATTTGTAGGTAATATGGCACCTGCCCTATTACTACCTTTTTTTGTTTTATTTAAAACTTTTTTATAATGCTAGAGTTCAAACCCAGAGTCTCATGCATGCTAGGCAAGTGGTGTATCATCATGCTTAACTTCCAGCCTGCTTTTAATTTGGTAAGAACTGGAGTCTCTTTATTGCACAAGTTAGCATAAAACTCCTCAGCTCAAGCAATTCTCTTGCCTCACCTTCCTGAGTAGTGGGTCTATAGAGCATGCCCTGATGCCCACCTAAAGTGTTGGGTATCACTGAAGAAAGATGGACATTTTTACTTGATTAGGCGTTAGTTTACTTACATAAAATTTTTTGCCAGTTTTTATTTAGATCTTTGATATTGATATATGTCATAGAAATCTTTTATATAAGAGCCATTTTTTGTTTGATATAAAAGCTTTTTTCTCGAAATCTGTTGTTTTCTCTTAACTTTTTATCTAGAGTTCATATTTGTTACATGATTCAATTTGTAGATCTTTGTAGTTTTTGCAATTGCTTCAATTCTGGTAGTTTATTATCCTTCTGAGACTGAGGTGAAACAACTGGTCCTCAAAAGTCACTGCCAAGTAGTTGGCTACTAATAATGGCTAAGACACTAAAACTTGTTAATTAACTACATGTGCATGTATTGATAAATGTATTTAGAGTGATATCAAGATTATTCCTATGTCACCGTCACTTTAAATTGTGTATCGGTATATTTTCTGGAATGGAGAATGCCAAGGATTGTAATCTTAAATGAAGTTTTATACATGTTTATCTGTTTTGCTTGAGTTGTTGATGCATCTTAATTTTAATCTTAATGCACCCTTAATTTTAGTAGCTCTAAGTCATATTCTGTTACCTTAAAATGAATAGCAGAAAAAACTGATTTAGAAATTTCTTCTCTAGCCGGGTGTGGTGGCACATGCCTGTAATCCCAACGCTTGGGTGGCAGAGGCAGGAGGATTGCTGTGAGTTCTAGGCCAGCCTGAACTGCATAATGAGACTCTGTCTCAAAAAGACAAGAAAAAGAATTTTTTTTCTTCAAAAAATTTTTTATTATTATTGGTTCATGTTTGCAGTACATAATGATTGTATTCCTCATGAGGAGTTGGTGCATGACACAACACGTCTCAATTCCTTTTCCTCCCCTTCCCTTTTGCAATCTTTTCTTACTCCATTAGGTGATATATCAGCTGTGTGCATGCTCTGATACTTCTGGTCCTACTATGAGGTACTTAAGAACCAGCCAGGATTTCTTATTTTCTCAGTTGCAGCATTTGCCTTTCTCTAACAAAGGTAGGACATTATTTTCCTTTATTATTACAGAATGAATGTTCCTTATCTGAAAGACTTGGTTAGCAGAAGTGTTTCCAATTTTGACTCTTCGATTCTGGAATATTTACGCATACATAATGAGATATGGTACCATGGGATGGGACCCAAATCTAAACAAGAAATTCATTTCTGTTTATGTACCTTACACGCATAGCCTAATGGTCATTTTACACAATATTTTTCAGTGTGTATACATTTTGACTGCAAATATAAAAATAATACTGAATTTACAAAATATTGTATAAGTCATTCCTAGTACTAATTATATGTTAAATCAGATGTCTTTAGTTATCTTAAGAGATTGCCAGGCATGGTCGCACATGCTTGCACTCCCGGCATTTGGGAGGCTGAGGCAGAAGGAGGATCACAAATGTGAGGCCAGTCTGGGCTGCATAGCAAAGGCCTATCTTAAAAAAACCAAAAGGTAAAAAGACAGAGATAGCATAAAATGATGCAGCATGGATGTAATTTCTTCTAAGTATGTGTTTTGTGAACTCAAAAATCAACTTTATGATAGTTTTTAATGCATTACGTATTTGAAACCTTTTAAAAACAAAATATTAACATATATTAATGTTAAATTATGGAATACTCAAGATTTTTATGCAGTTATCCATGTAATAAAAACTGATTCATTTGTCCCATCATTTTGCCTTAGCTTATCTTTTGTGGACACATATTAGCTTATTTTTCTCCATTGTATCTTTTTTTCAGCTTTTTTTTTTGTGGCACCGGGAATCGAACTCATGACCTTGTGCTTGCCAGGCAAGTGCTGTGCCGCTGAGCTATATCCCTGGCTGTATCTTTTTTTTCTTTTGTAGTTTTACAGAGTGAGAAATTGTGATGTTGCCAAGTTTTATACATTATTGACTATCACATGGGAAAGTATCTGATGAATTTTGATCTGATGATTTAGATCTGTTCTGATCTTGTGCTACTACTCTGAGCAATGAAATTTATGTTTAAATTCCAGAATATGAAATCTCTATGCTGAATCAAATGTCATGGCTTATGAAAACTGCCTCAATAGAACTCAGAGTGACTTCTCTCAATCGTCAGCGGTCACATACCCAGAAACTCCTCCACCTCCTACTGGATGACATACCAGCAAGACCATACTCAGGTGAACACGACATTGCCTGCACTGTGCAGGGGCTGGTCCTCGTTAGTTACAGTACCAGTCTGAATCTTACGCTGAGTGTGTGGTTAGAGACCAAGTCAGTTCTCTCACCTTTGGAATGTTTTCCTTAAAATTAATCTCAGGATTATTATTTTTGTTTAAGAATCTGTAATACAAACTGCTTAGTGGAATTTGTCACACTGAGGCAACATGACCCAAGCTATTTCAGTATGTGGTATATATGCAAATTAAACATAAGTTTTTCATATCATCTATTTCTCATGATTGGGTCTTGCCAGTTTTGTGGTGATAAGATCGAACCCAAAGTGTTGTGCATGCAAGGCAAGAACTCTACCACTGAGCCACATCCCCAGCCCCTGTCTTGCCAGTTTTGAAATACTGATACCTTTTTAAAATTGTGAATGGTTCCCAGAAAGATGGAAAGAATTAGATATATGCTGGTAGTGAGTTTTCATCAATCCTTGCAGTTTAGTTACGCATTTGCAAAGGGCTGTTTAACCTAGAAACAGTGACCTAGAAATAAAATACACGGTTTTAATTTCCGAATAAATGTACTTTTGAGTGTATTCTTCACTTCTCAGTCTATTATTTCTGCTCCACCAGATGGGGAAGGAGGAATGGAAGATGAAAATAGGTCTGTCTCTGGGTTCCTTCTTGTTGACACTAGCACAAAAGGTAAAAGTTCGTTTTTGCAATAAATTTATTTTATAGACATCTTCAGTTGCTTGAAACTTAAAGATATTGCCGTGCCCTTTCAGCAAACCTGGTACAGAAAAGTTACTTAAAGGATTGTCAATCACAGACATTTTTTAATGACTAGGATTATAAGATGGAAGGAAAATATTTTGTAAGTGGGTGTAGCAGAAATTAAATCAGATTTACGTTGAAGCATGGTTGTCAGTCTGAGCACAGCACAGTCTTTGAGTGTGAAGGTTTGTTCTTCAATATGCCGTGTACACATGGTTTACTTCTTATTGTTTTTAGTACGTCGAAAAATTCTAAGCATTCTTGACTCGATTGACTTCAGTCAAGAGATCCCTGAGCCTTTGCAGCTGGATTTTTTTGACCGGAACCAGATTGAGCAAGTTATTGCAAACTGTGAACACAAGAATTTACGGGGACAGACTGTCTGCAATGTCAAGGTGAGGAGTGCTTTGAAAGCGTCTACTTTGTCAAGTGGTTCATACATTGAACCACTAGGAAAAAAACGGGCTTTTGTTCCTAGATAGAAATTTTGGTTGCTAAGTTTTGGACTGAGGTTTTTGTCAAATAGCCAGAAATTAAAACTTAGTAGTCCACACTAACCTCTTTAAAAGGTTCCTCCTTTAATAGTTATAGTTATCCCACCCAACTAGAAATGGGGAGTGCTTTTCAGTACTTAATTCTTAATCAAGTAAAAGTAATGGCCTCACCAGAAGGAAGAAGATATCCCAGGCATTACCTGCTAGAGACTGTTTGGTATCACTCCTGGGGTTATGAGGGATACTTAGTATTTTATCTGGAAGGTCGACAGTGCCATTGTTAGATCACTATATAAAAAGATTCTGGAACTTTTCCCTTCAGGGTAGTTTATAGTTACTATTCTACCAGTATCTGAAACAGCCTTATTTTCTCTTTTTCCCTAATTGTGTAGCTTCTTCATAGAGTTCTAGTGGCCGAAGTAAATGCTCTTCAGGGTATGGCAGCCATCGGACAGAGACCTCTACTCATGGAGGTAAGCTTTATTGAATATATGTTAGTGTTTGTCCTTTTGTCTACTTAAACTACTTGTTTGCTGGCTCAAAGACAAAACTATAACTAGACCTGTAGTTTGTTAATTAGTGAACGATGTAAAAATTAAACTTTCATGGGAATCACTCTCTTTGGATGTTATAATTTTTATAAACTGAGTTTAATGCCTAGTATGCCAAAATAAATAACTTCTGGTATACTAGTTAGGAATTTAGAGTCCAGGTGTTTCTCTTTCTGTGAAAGAGTGAATTGGTATTCCAGGTGGGGAGTTGTGGATAAGAGGTCAAATGGAAAGAACCACAGCCATGGAAACATAGCTGGCCAGGCCATGTGGGAAGGAAAGAAATAGACATCTAAGGAGAACAAGCCATTAAACTTGGGCTTTGGGTGATTATAGTGCTCTGGAGTTAAGTATAAGTAGATGGTTGCCAAGAGAAAGGAGCACAAGATAGATGTCCATCTATGCTACCTCTGTCCCTTGCATTAAATGCACACAGGCTGGGTGTGGAGGTGCACACTCGTAATGCCAGCATTAGGGAGGCTGAGGCAGGAGGATCGCCATGAATTCTGCATAGTGAGACCCTGTCTCGAAAAACAGCACCAACACACAGCTTGTATGTTAGTTTTATATCTTCATTTTTGCAGCTGTGGCTTCCAAACTAACATAGAGAGGATATACTTACTACCCAGCATGCATGTAATTTTTCAAATAAATGTTTTCCGAATATCTGGCAATGTTAAACAATAAGAACCTATGAATAACAGACATTTTATCTGTATGTGTTGACTTTGCATTTCCATTTCTGGGACTTTAGGAAATTAGCACGATTCTGCAGTATGTGGTGGGAAGGAACAAACTGTTGCAGTGCCTGCATGCGAAGCGGCATGTGCTGGAGTCTTGGAGGCAGCTGGTGGAAATCATCCTGACAGCTTGTCCCCAGGACCTCATTCAGTCTGAGGACCGGCAGCTGATTATTCGTGATATTTTACAAGATGTACACGATAAGGTGGTGTAGTTTCTAATATACTTCACACTGCTCAACAAATGTATGTTGCATATATGTAATTTAAACATATTTTGGCCCCCTAACTTTTTTCCATTCTAGATTGGAAGTAAAATAGAGTTGTGTAGTACCACTCTTTGGGCATCAGTCGGGGCTTTGGGCTGGAGTGTGTGGATCAGAGATAGGTAGCTTTGTAAAATGTCTATCGACTGACCTCACCGCAGACCTAATACAATGGTGTGTGCATTTCAGAAAGCAAAGCCTCCCTGTCGGTTCGGATGGGACTCTCTTCTGCTTAAGAACACCTGTTAACCCAGGATCACATTTAAATTTCTCACTCGTATGTTCGCCTTGTTTCTTCGAACAGCTCTTACATTCCGTCCTGATAATGTTGTAGTAGTTGGGAAGCTAAACGCATATAAAACACTAGTTGCTATGCTGGCTGGGCGCAGTAATCACTATGATTTCCTTTGTACTCTAAGATCCTGGATGACGAAGCCGCTCAAGAGCTAATGCCGGTGGTCGCCGGCGCTGTGTTCACCCTGACAGCTCACCTAAGCCAGGCGGTCTGCACAGAGCAGAAGCAGCTGGTAGTCTCGGGGTCCGGAGAGGCCCACTATGCGTTCATGCTCGAGAGCTCTTTCTCCTCACCTGCTCCAGCTGAAAACCCGCTGCTGGCCTTCGCTGCTTCTGTTGGAGATTCTTCACTGCACATCATACTGAAGAAACTGTTAGACTTCATTTTGAAGACAGGTTTGTTTTTTTTTTTAAATCTAAATTTTCTATAATTACAACTTTGTATTTGTTTTACCATGATTGGGAAAAGTTTTTCACCTGAGTGCATCTCTGATCTCCTAGGTGGTGGATTCCAGCGAGTGAGGACTCACCTGTATGGCTCTCTGCTTTATTATTTACAGATTGCCCAGAGACCGGATGAACCAGACACCTTAGAAACAGGTAGAACTAGGTCAAGTCTTAGTCTTTTCTGTTTTTAGAAAAATCCCTTCTCTTTTTGCTAAGCACAGCTACAGTTAATGAATCTTGATAATCACTGAAGCACTCACAAGTTGAGGATACATGTTTAGCTTTTGAGAACTATGAATTATACAAAGATTTTAAAAACCACTATGTGTTTAAATCTTACTTTGTCTCATATTATCCTTATTGTGGTTATATATTGTGCCTTAGTACCCTAGTGTATTATGCCGTAATAACCAAGTGGTATGTTTATGCCAGACAGGTTTGCACTATATAAAGGATACATTCTTCATGAGGAATTTATTATCATAATCTTTCTACCGCCCTTTCCTCTCCTCTGCCTCCCTCTCCATCTCTAGGTCCCTGTCCCATCTACAGAGGAACTAAATCTAACTTTCATTTTGCTCTTTGAATTATTTATACTTTGGGTTTCTCATATAAGAGAACCATGTGATAGTTAACCTTTTGGGTCTGATTTATTTCACTTAGCATTATAGTCTCAAGGTGCATGCAGTTTGCTATGAATGACTCAGATTTATCCTTTATGGCTAAGTAATACTGTGGACATATACCACATTTTCTTTATCTTTTCATCTGTTGGTGGACATATAGGCCATTTCCAGGATTTAGCAATTGTGTGTACTGCTGTAAACATGGGTATGTATTCATCACTGTGATATGATGTCTTTAACTCCTTTGGGAAGATACGCAGAGGGGAATAACTGGTTCAGATGGAATTACAATTTTTAGTCTTTTGAGGAATCTTCATACTGGTTTCCATAGTAGTTGTAGTGCTTTACATTCCCACCAGCAGTGCAGAAGGGCTCCTCCCCAAAGCCTTGCCAGCATTTTTTTTTTTTTGATGTTTTGATAGTAACCATTCTTTGTGCAGTAAGATGATATGTGTGTCATTTTAATTTGCACTTCTGTATTAACCAGAGATGCTACACATTGTTTTATGTACTTATTGGCCATTCTGTACTTCCTTTGAGAAGTATCTGTTGATTTCAATTACCCATCTTTGGGGCTGGGGATTTAGCTCAGCGGCAAAGCGCCTGCCTGGCAAGTGCAAGGTCGTGAGTTCGGTTCCTGGTACCGGAAAAAAAACAAAAAATAAATTTAAAAAAATCAATTACCCATCTTTGATTGAGTTTCATTTGGAGGAGTCTGACTTTTTGGAGTCCTTATACATTGGTCCTCTGTCCAAGGAATAGCTGGTTAAAATTACTTCCTGTTGTTCCTTGTCTCCTCACTGTGTTGGTTGTTTCCTTTGCTGTGCATAGGCTTTTTAATTTGACATAATCCTGTTTATTGATTCTTTGTCATTTCTTGTGCAGTTGGGCTTCTATTCTGTGGGCAAATATTTTTAAGGTCAGGAAAAATAATGGATTAGTTCAGAGAGGCTTTTTAAACAAACATGAGTTTCTTTTAAAAAGATATAACAGTGAGATTCCCCTATCCTGCTCACATTTTTCTCTTTAAAATTTTTTATATTTTTAGGATGCTGCAGTGGCACAATCGGTTAGCGCGCAGTCCTTATAAAATTTTTTATATTTTTAGTCAAATTGGCAAAATCACCACCAGGTGGAGCTCAACAACATGCTTTTTAAAGGAAGTCTTTAAAAGGCCAATTTAGACCCTGCTGGGATTGGTAGTGAATACCTATAATCCTAGCACACTGGTAGGCAGAGGCAGGAGGATCACAAGTTCAAATGCTGCCTGGTCAATTTAGAGACTTTGCAGCATACACTGTCTCAAAATTAAAAGTAAAAATGAGGGCCAGGGATATAGCTCAGTGGCACAAGTGCCTGCATGGCAAGCACAAGGTCCTGAGTTTGATTCCCAGCAACGTGCCACCCCCGTCCCCCAGTCATACCAAAAGTAAAACCAGGCTGCGGATGTAGCTCTGTGCAGACACTTTGAGTTTAACCCCATAGCCACAAACAAAACAGAAAAGCTCTGCTGCTAGTAGTAGTTGGGGAAGAAAATCATGAGATTAATTACAGCTACAGGGTATTGCTTTATTTGTAAACTTTTCTAAGGTTTGTTTACATGACTCTTATTTTTCCAAATGAACACACTGTTCTCATTATGGAGACTTCCTTTTCTGCATTGTACCTGATCTTCTTTAGCCACTTTGTCAAAGATATCAATGAAACTTAAAAACAGATGGATTGGTTAGTGGGATAAACACAAGATACTGATTCTCTTGAATGCTTGCTTTGACAGCACGTATACTTAAATTGCAATGATTTTCTTGAAGACTCATAGTTCATTTTGATTTCCTTTAATGTAACACCTTTAAAGAAATCAAGATTGGGCTGGGGATATAGCTCAGTGGCACAGGCGCCTGCCTGGAAAGTGTAAGGTCCTGAATTCAATTCCTGGTACCAAAAAAGAGAGAGAGAGAAAGAAAAAAATCAAGATTGTTATTTCAGGCCCAAACTGATTCAGGAGACCCTTTCTCAAATGAAAAGTGGGGTGTAACTTAGTACAAAATCTCTGGTTCAGTCACTGTTAGCACACACACAAGAGGAAAGAAAAGGACAGAAAAGAAAAGCTTATCCTTTTCCTGGTACTGCTGTCATTTCTGTGTACAAACGTGGCATCTGTGCGTTGTACTCTTGAGGTTTGCCTGCTCAGACTCATTAATCAGCAGCCCTTTCTGGATGTACAGTGCTGGAAGGATTTTTTTGTTGCTTATGAGGTAGAATTACTCAGTAACTGAGCTGCTTTCTAGGGAGTGTTTTTTTCTGTTTTAATCCTTTCAGCTAAGAAAACCATGTGGGAAAGGCTGACAGCCCCTGAAGATGTGTTTAGTAAACTGCAGCGAGAAAACATAGCCATCATTGAGAGTTACGGGGCTGCCCTCATGGAAGTGGTCTGTCGCGATGCCTGTGACGGTCATGAGATTGGAAGGGTAAATTACTCTTGTTTTTTTTCCTTTTTTCTCCTGCCCCCCACCCCTCTACTAGGGATTTAACCCAAGACTCACACTGAGCTGCATCCCTAGCCCTTTTTTATTTTTATATTTGAGACAAGGTCTCTCTAAGTCCTTAAGACTTAGATGGGGCTCATACTTGCAGTCCTACTGCCCAGTCTCTTAGGGTACTGGGAGTGTATGTGTATGCTATCCCAGCTGTAACTCTCCTGTAGTGTTGTTATTAAGTAATTGGACTTTTTGAAGATAAAAACTCCATCAACTTTTACAGTGAATGTTACACATTGAGAACTACTTCCTTTTTAAAATATATTTTGGTGAATTTGCTATAATATGGCACTTCTGTTTTGTTTATTCAGATTTTGCTTAAATCAGTTTAGAATCTTCAATCAGAATTTCCTCTTAGAATTATCTTTTTGCTAGTTTTGAGGTTAGCTGGTGTAACAACACTGGTAAAAGCAGTAAAGATGCTAGTTAACAGAGTTCTTGGGTTAAGAGAATTCTGAGTAAATTGCCCTTATACTGAATATATCTTTCTCTGCCTAAATGCTTTGTGGAAGAGAATTTGCATTTATATTGTGGCATGCTGCTGCTAATGTAATGAGGAGATAATTTCCTCATACTGGAAAATTATAGGGGCCGGGGAGATAGCTCAGTGGTACAGCACCTGCCTGGCAAGTGCAAGATCCTGAGTTTGATTCCCAGCACCAAAAAAAAAATTATATACATTCGAGTCATGTTACTTGAAGATCATCAAAAATAGAATCTTGAGAAATAGGATAAAATATAAATTATGTAATAATCTCTCAATTATGCAGAAACATTTTAAAGTATTTTTATGCCTAGGAAAAATACTGGAAAGACATAGGCCAAAATGGATAGCCTATCATCCATATATTAGATTGTGAGTTTATGTACTTTACCAGGTTTTCTGTAGTGAGCACATCAAACCGTAGAATTAGGAGGGAAAAAGCTATTTGAAAAACTTCTCTAACAAGTAATGTCTACCCTTGATTAAGGTATATTTAGTGTTATTATATTGATGCGTTAGGTTTTGTTTCAGAAATACAAGTTGATCCTGAAAGTTTTTCTTTTATTACTAAGTTGAGATTTTGGATACAGAGTTTTCAGCTTCTAAAAAAAACGGGAAACTTTACTGCAAGCAACTTTTCTCCCCCCCATGAGAAAAGCTCTAAATATTTTCAGTTACAAGCAGTCACTGTTGTTGATTTTGGTCGTCATCTGTGAGTGTAGCCTTCGGTTTTTCTTCCTTCAGATGCTGGCCCTCGCGCTCCTTGACCGGATCGTGTCTGTGGATAAGCAGCAGCAGTGGCTTCTGTACCTCTCCAACAGCGGCTACTTGAAGGTTCTCGTGGACAGCTTGCTAGAAGATGACCGTACTCTACAGAGCTTGCTCACTCCGCAGCCTCCCCCTTTAAAGGCCCTTTACACTTACGAGTCCAAGATGGTAAGGCTCGATGGACATGTGATGTTAGATGCCACAGGTACTGTATTTCTACAGCATGAAGTGTAATCTTTTTAAAAGAATTCTAAAATTTGGGGATCTGTGCCATTAATGTATTTTCTGAAATATGCAAAAAGATGAGTTGAAATTCTGAGAAGGCTAATCGGGTAAAGGGTTGCTGCTTACTCACTGAGGCTGGGGGTGATGGCAGTGAAACCCCCAGTGTTCCGTGAGGGAGAGCAATGAATTCCAGAACGTTCTGAACGTGTTAGTTAACTATTGCAAACTTCAGTGTGCTGGTTCTACTATTTTTTCCATTCCCTGCCCTCCCTTCAACCCTTCCTCCCCTTCCCCCTTTACAAAAGCTTTGTTTCCATTTTTTTCTTTTCTCACTTTTTTTTTTTTTTTATACTTTTTCCTTTACCCCTCTGTGCTGGTGCTACTTTAAACACAGGATTTTTTTTTTTTTTTTTTTTTTTTTTTTCGTTTTTCTCCGGTACCGGGAACCGAACTCATGACCTTGCGCTTGCCAGGCAGGCGCTTTTGCCACTGAGCTAAATCCCCAGCCCCTAAACACAGGATTTTTAATAGAGCATATACTTCTCATTTCTTAGACTCCAAATATTTTAATTTTCATTTCTTCTGGTTAAGCTTACCATAAATGTTACAGTATTGGAAGCAGTAAAGACGTAGATTTTTATTAGTTTCTCTCCTTTATTTATTTATTAAATATTTATTAAATACCTACTAGATGCCGGGTATGATATTGAGTAGTAGAGACACAGCTCTCAGCATAATCAACTTACCTGCCTGCTTTGAGACTACATGATGATGACAGAGACTAGAGTTTGAGTATTTAAGTCCTGCAAAGCATTGTATGCAGGCCCTGCAGATACATTGTGCTGAGTCCTTATAAAAGTCCTATGAGAAGGGAGGAGATAGGGCCCCTGTAGCATTTACTGATAGAAAAATATGCTATCTGCTTAAGAATCCTGCAGTTATATTGAAATAGTGATTAAAAATAAGAAATGTGGAACTGGGCATGGTGGCATACACCTGTAATCCAGCACTTGGGAGGCTGAGGCAGGAGGCTTGCCATGAGTTCAAGGCCAATCTAGGCTATATAGTGAGTTCAAGGCCAGCCTGAACTACACAGCGAGACCCTGTCTCAAAAAAAAAAAAAGGAAAGTGCCGTGAAAGTGTCTCATTTTTGCAGGGGGCCCTTGGATATCATTACAGCCCTGGTCATTTTCTTCTGTGACTTTCTAGGCGTTTCTCACGAGAGTGGCTAAGATACAGCAGGGTGCTTTGGAGCTGCTGAGGTCTGGGGTGATTGTGAGATTGGCACAGTGCCAAGTCTATGACATGCGCCCAGAAGTGGACCCACATAGGTAAGTGGCCACACTCACTGGCCTGGGTAAGCTCACAGTAAAGGCTTTTTTTTGTTTTTTTCTGGTATCGGGAATAGAACTCACTACTTCGTGCTTGCCAGGCAGGCACTGTGCCGCTGAGCTAAATCCCCAGCCCCCGCACTAAAGACTTTTTAAGGAGAAAAGAAATTCTAGGGCTGTAGATATATCTCAGTTTTGGGGCAATTACCTACCCATATGTTAAACTGTAGCTTTAATCTCCAGTATTAAAAAAAGAAAAACAAGTTAAAAAAAATTTCTAAACATAATGTTGCCACTGATTTATACTTCTGTTGGCTTTAAGCTGTACTCTTCCATCTTTTGAGGAGACCAGTCATAGGCCCCTGTTGTTTACTAAAAAATGGAAGTTGCTAATCAGTGTCAAAGTAAGTCCCTAATGCTTTCAATTTAAAGTAGTAATATAAGAGAAAAGCAGGAGAGAAGTCTGTTAGTAAATGTGTACCTTCCCAACCTTAGTGTTTTGTTCAGTAGAACTACTTATTTTCAGTTAGTGGTCCTTTGAAGTAGTATAGTGAATTATAATTTGTGAGTTTCCTGTTCCTAGTAATTTGAATGGTATTTCAGAGCTTCCCCTGCCTTATTTTAATATTTCACCTACTGTTTACTGCTGAAAGCTTCAAGTAAAATTATTTTCAAGTTGAAAGCATTTCAGTCCTTTCAGTTTGAATATTGACTATTCAATGTGAAATTTTATTAGTGTATATTAGTTTTACAAAATAATGGGTTTATTTCGAAGTATTCATGCATCAATTTGAAGTTCTTTCTTTCACTGTAGCTTTTTGTGTGTGTTGAGACAGAGTCTTGCTATGTAGTTCTGTCTCGCCTTGAACTCACTATGTAACTCATGCTGGCCATGCCTCCTGAGTCTGGGATCATAGGTGTGCTCCACCAGACCCAGCTATAACTGCAGCATTCTTAAGCAGATAGCATATTTTTCTATCAGTAATTGTTAATTTAAGTTGGGGCTTAGTAATTGTTTTCAAAAGATTCATTGCCAAATTGAATATTTGAGTTTTTCAGGCTTACCTACAGAATTTTGGCATTGCTTTCTAAAGTTTTGAATAGTTGGGCATGGTGGTACATGCCTGTGATCCTAGCAGTTGGGAGGCTGAGGCAGGAGGATTGCTACAAATTTGAGGCCAACCTGAGCTACAGATAAGACCCTGTCTCAAAAAAACAACATAAAGTTTTAAATGTAGAGTTTCTATTTTTATCCTATATAGAGTTGAGTATCCTCAGTTCATGGCATATAATTGTTACTTCTCTGTGCAGGTCCTCTCATTTATTTCCTTTTATTTCTATATTCTCCTTTCGTTCCTTTTTATCAGGCAAATAATATATTTTCTTTTGTCTAAAACTTTAAATATAAAAAATAACACTAAAATAGTTTATTAATAGTGGGAGGGTTTTTTGTTTTTGTTTTTGTTTTTGGTCTTTTTGAGACAGGGCCTCGCTATGTAGTTCAGCCTGGCCTTGAACTTATTTTGTAGCCCAGGCTGTCCTCAAAACTTGCAGAAAAGCTCCTCCCTCAGCCTCCTGAGTGCTGAAACTACAGGTGTGCGCCAGTACGCCTGGCTGAGACCTAATTTTAAAGATTTAAGTGATTTTACAACCTGTTCGACTTTTATTTTAATTTCATTTTATATAATGGAACATGCAGATTCATTTTTGCCTTGAAGAATATTGGGGAAAAATAACTTGTTTTTATCAATTTCTTATTCATAGTTTCTATGGCTCTAGGCACATTGGAGAAAAATAAATGTGTATGAGACGTTTCCAGCATTAACTTTGTTTCCTTAACAAGCTTTTTGAGAATTCAGCTAGCTGCCTTTTACTAAGATACAGGTTTAGGTGAACACCTGAAGCACCACAGTGCATATGGGCTGCAAAGCCCTCCTGCCTGTAGCAGTGTCGCATCTTAATCAGATGGCTTTGATCTGTTTGCCATGTGTATGGTGAGGAATTACTAAGAGCAAACCCGCATTCTCGCAATGTGGCTCTCTCCTTGTGTGGTTGAAACGTCAAGTGTGTTCGGCGTGAGAGACTCCCCGATGTTCATCCCGTCGCCCGTGGATCGCTACCGTCAGGTTCTCCTCCCTGCCCTCCAGCTGTGCCAGGTGGTCCTCACGTCTAGCATGGCGCAGCACTTGCAGGCTGCGGGGCAGGTAAGATGAACTCATGTTTGTTTAGACTCCGCACAGTACAGAGTCCTCTGAATGCTAATGCAGAGGCCTACAGCTAAGACAGCCTGAAAGAATTCGCCTCCATCCTCCTCTCTGAGGCAGAGCAGGGTATAGAAACAGGTGCCTTGGACGTGGGGGTGAGCTCCAGGGACCCCACTTTGTACTCTTGTTTGAACAGAACATGCTGCCATTTAATAGCACTGTGAGATGGAAAGAAGAGACTGAACTTTGTTCCTCTGGAAAGAAAATACTTATTATAGTAGGCACAACCTGACCTTTAAGATACAATTTAACCGGGTATTTCTTGAAAGATATGCCAGGCCTTGCAGAAAATATAAGGTAGTACCACATTTGTATGTGATTTCTACGGAATGAAATACTCGGTCTGTAATTTAAAGAAGTGAATTTTCTGTCAAAAATGCTTTTCATTAGGAAATGTCAACACACTTTAAGAGAAATGTTGTCATTAAGTACCAGAAAGTAGTTTTATTATTACAACTTTCAAACATGTATTTCTGTTTGCTTATATTAGTACTATAATTTTTTTTTTTTTTAAACCAGGTTTACTGTGTGGTTCAGGCTGGTCCTGAACTCTCTATGTAGCCTAGACTGGCCTTGAACTCTTGGCAATCCTCCTGCCTCAGCCTCCTGAGCGCTGGGATTACAGGCGTGCACCACCATGCCCAGCAATATACTATATATTTTAATCATTGATGAATTAGGTTTATCATCATAAATCTCCAGTCTTTTATTATGTTACTTTATGGTGATGCCCTCAGGACCTGGATCCTGAAATGCTTTGTCTTCTGGTAATTCTGTATGCTTTCCCTGCTGTTGCTCAGAGCCATGGTAGTGGGGCAGGTGTGTGCTGCTGTTCCTAAAGTGACAGCCTGTGTTACACTGCAGCAATCTCAGGGACAGTGTGCCCTTGCACAGATGGCTGCCACCGGAGTTCTCTTGTCTTTTTTATTGAGACCAAGAGTTTTCGGTAGCATTGGGACATTGATGTAAGACATGGTTCCCTACACCAGTCCTGTGTGGAGTGTCACAGAAATACCTGAGGAGCTGCCGATCTCTGGGTGCAGCGACTGTGGGCTGAGGCCAGGATTCTATTGAATCCCTCTGATTGAGATGCACAGCCTGCTTTGGCTTAGTCTCTGCCTTGAAGGCAGAGTTGAGATACTCAAGGTGAAAGTGCTGAGAGAATGTCATGTCATGGCAGTCAGACTTTGCATAGAGCAGCTTCTTGAATTCAGTTGCCATTTTATACCCAATCCCATTTAAACAAACGGTAAAAGAAATAAAATAGGTATCAAATATGCCAGGCATGGTGGTACACACCTGTGATCCCAGCATCAGGAGGCTGAGGCAGGAGGATCGCTGTGAGTTTGAGGCCAGCCTGAACTGCATAGTGAAACCCTGTCTCACAAAGGCCAAAAAAGAAAGAAAGAAATAGGTGTCAAATAATAAGTTTTCACTCATCGTTCCAAGTTAGACTCTTCTTTAATAGCCTCCAGTGGTACAGTACAGTATAATTTATAAACCTTGAAATAATTCTTACCTGTGGCTTTCTTGTGAATTTAGTTAAATGTTTGCTTCTTGAAGAAATAAACTACGGGAGCGTAGAAAACAGTTGGTTCTGTTACTTTTCCTCATTACGCTGCATTATTTGCGATAGTATTGTGAAGTGAGTTATACATTTATCATGTAATTGCCTACTCTTCTGCCTTCCTTTGTGCTCGGCCTGCTCCATGGCTCAGGTGTTGCAGTTTCTCATTTCGCATTCTGATACCATCCAAGCCATTCTGCGCTGCCAGGACATGAGTGCTGGTTCTTTGCAGGAACTGGCTCTGCTGACTGGAATTATAAGCAAAGCAGCGCTTCCTGGTGAGTTGAGTGTGTCCAGTGGACTTTTAAGAATTCTTTACAGACTGACACAGCAAAATAGAATCAGTTTGTGTGATACAGGACTTGTGAAAGGGGTACTTCTAACAATCAGCTACATTTAAATAATGTTTTATTTGTAAAAATGACCTTGCTGGGGAAATAGCTCAGTGGTACAGTGCCTGCCTGATATATTTTCCTTATAAAAAATTAGAAATGTTCAAGTAGATAATTAACAATGAAAATTGCATTTCAAAGAAATTAGCAAATAGAGAGAGAATGGACACACAGTACTGACTTATAAGAAGAGGACCACCTGGTACTTCTTACATGCTATTTTAGAAAACATTGAATGGAAGGAAGAAATTGCTATATTCTAGGCAAATGTTTCTTCACAGCAGAAGTACAGAGATACTAGCTTTTAAAAGGTCACTATGATTAAGAATAAAGATGAGAAATTAAGACTTGTCACTTTTTTCTACTATAATTTCTTCACTACGTATAAATTTCAAAGTCAGTTAACTCCCAGATGTAACTGGTGAAGGGACGGGTACTTTTACATTTCCTCTTCCACTTTCAGATTTTCTTATATTATTTTCACTTTGTCAGATTTTATAACATTTCCACCCAGTCTTACACCCACAGTACACTTTCAGCTGTTGTATTTACATAACTTCACTGCAGAATGTCCGTCCTTCCGTCCTTCCTCAGTAAAGACTCAGACTTCAGTCATGAATTCTTGCTTTTCACTTCCCTCATGATATTTTACTTTGTGTTGCAAGTCTCCCTTTCTCTCCCCCACCATCATCCTCAGTTTGACAGTGTATGTTGGCTCCTTTTCTGATGAACTTCATTCATTTTATAAGTGCTGTATAAGCACTTGAATTAGAAAATAGTTAATTGTTAAGTTTAGAAAGTCTCAACTTTTATGGTTATAAGTAAAAGTTTGAATTTTCTTGAAGACTTAAAATGGGTTTCAAAATCACCAATCTGTATTCATATAAATGTACGTGTGCTAGTATTATTATATGAAGGGCTTTTAGCTGGTTTTATATGAAAGGCACCTACAGCGTTTGAGGAAGCATATTTCTCAAGACTTCTATGCCCAGGTTTCTCAAGTCTGTTGGTTCACAGAAAGAATATAAAAAATGAGAACCCTAGCTTTTTACTTTAGCATAAAACTGTACTAAAAGTTACCCAAATTTTTAGGTATATTGAGTGAACTTGATGTGGATGTAAACGAAGGATCTCTGATGGAGCTCCAGGGCCATATTGGAAGATTCCAGGTAACTCACCCTTACTTGTTTAGCAGTGTTAAGCTGTCTTAGGAAACAGCGGTCCTCTGATCCTCCTCCCCATCCTGTTCCCAGTATTGGGCAGCCCCTCTAACTGTTCGGATTCTTTGTTATCTGTAAATTCCGTGCTTATATTGCTACTACTTGATTTTTCTCATTTTCTGAATCACCTTTTGGTTTTCCGTTGATGCTGAGAATTTAGATTGCTTTATTCCTTTTCTTCTACCATGCAATGTATCTATTTTCGATGACATCCCCCATAAGTCAGTGTGACTATAATTTTGGTTATATTAATGCATAATGCTTCAGTATTATGACTGTGCCTTTTTTTTTATTAAGCCATGAACAACACTTTTTTGTGTGGTGTTTTATTTTTCCTAGAGTTGATAATTGCTGCTGCCTTTTAAAAAAATTTGCTTGGTATTTATTTTGCATTTATCTTTTTAACTCTCCTCTGTGTGTGTACTCTCTGTGTTCAAACATACCAGATAGTTTATCAGATATTTTGTGGGTCTTTCTGGAAGCCTCCTGCCTTGCTCTGATATGGGCATCTTCATTTTTTATTGGCTATGGAATAATTTTATATTTGAATGTGTATTCTGGTTTGTTGTTTGTTTTTTGCTTTTGTTTCATTTTGTGTTTTGAGATAGGGTCTTGCTTTGTAGTACAGGCTGGCCTTGAGCTCACCATGTAGCCCAGGCTAGCCTTGAACTCACAGCTACCCTCCTGCCTCAGCCTCCCAAGCTCTGGGATTACAGGCGAGTACCACCACACCCATCTAACCCATCCTTTTTTTTCTTAACTTTTTTCCAGTTTTCGAAAGAAAAATGCTAGGGCTGGGGTGAAGCTTGATGGAAGAGTATATGCCTAGCAAGTGTGAAGTCCCAGGTTTGGTCCTCAGCCCTATCACAAAAGAAAAATACTGCCATTAGCATTTTTGTAGACATATTTTAAATTCTGAACCAAATCACGTATAAGGTAGAACTGGGTCTAAGGATATGTACATAGTACATTTTGAAATCAAATGTTTATTAAATGTCTCTCCAGAAAGGGTTGCACTTTTTATTTTTCTTTCTTTGCTGTACTGGGGATTGAACCCAGGACCTTTGCAGTGAGTTATGTCCCCAGTTTCTATTTTTTATTTGAGGCAGGGTCTTCCTAAGTGGCTAAGGGCTGGGCTTGAGCTTGTGATCCTCCTGCTGGGATTGCAGTGTGAGCCACTGTAGAGTACTTGCCTAGCTTCACACTTGCTAGGCAAGTACCCTACCATCAGGCTACATCCCAGCCCTAGCATTATTCTTTTGAAAACTGGAAAAAAGGATGCGTTAGATGGGTGTGGTGGTACACGCATATAATCCCAACACTTGGGAGGCTGAGGCAGGAGGGTAGCTGTGAGTTCCAGGCTACCTTGGGCTACATGGTGAACTCAAGGCCAGAGTGCTGGGATTGTAGGTGTGAGCCAGTGTGCCCAGCTCAAAAAGAGTTACACTTTTTCCAACAAAACCCAAATACTGTTTTATTTTTGTTTTTGAGTTTTCTAGTGTTTTTCATCAGCAGGGAGAAAAGGATCTTTTTGGTAAATGATAATCTCTGGGCATGTTTGAGCACATGTGTTTTTATCTGTAAGAGGAACAAGCACACATTTGTAAGGTTTTAAAATAGGACCATTTCAGCAAAATAAGTTTGTGTTACAGTCTCATTAATAACCTTTCCCCTCCCAATTAAACTAACATCAGTTCAAATAAGACATTGTGTTTATATGTACTGTCCATATTTGTGTGTGTATATATATACACACATGCAGAGTCTGCCCAAAAATGCATATATAATTCAGTTCACTATCCTAATAAATACCTGGAAGCTAATGCTCTTCACTTTTAGCACCTCTTGTAATTGTAGAGGCCAGAGGTAAGTTGTGTTAATCTCATGATGTCTCAGTAAACTTAGCATTAAAATATTTATACAAGTTCTTTTCCTGATAGGTCCTTTTTTGGTTGACTGTGTGTAATGTTAATCAATTTTATAAAACTTGTTTTTACTGTATGCTAAGTACAGAATGTTGTGCTAAAGCACATTAAATATAAAACAATGTCTCAGGTAATCTTAACAGTCTTGTAAGATAGAAATTATTACCACTTTAAAAATGTGACCATAAAGGGTTGAAGAAATGAAGTAATTTTTCCCTGATCACATAGCAAAAATTCCACTTGCTGCTGGAACCCACACTGAATCCAGACCCATGTGCTATCACTTGAAAATCTTGTCCTTTTCCTCTGAGAACTAGAGGAACAATTGTATCCTCAACATTTTCAAGCTAGTAACAGAGGGATTTTATCTGCCGCAGCAACCTGTATGTTCGTAACCCCTTCCCGAAGTCCTTGCAGTCATCCACAAGAGGAGCAATCCTGTCCTGTCCTTTTCTTTCTTACATTCTTTAAACATGTGACTTAGACAAATTATCATGGTTTGTTGTCCTCTTACCCTTTCTTTGCTTGCTTTTCATTTATTTATTGACTTGTGTGCATTTAATGATTGTTTCCCAGAGAATGATTCGTGCCTTTTTTTGATCTGACACATAAAGATTCTTTGCCAAACGTTCAGACTACTGGGGATTAACTGCTGAGCAAACTGGTAACCTGCTAGTAAGTGCTACCTCTCACTGGCTCAGTGGGAAGTAAGACACCAGGTGTTTTCAAGGGTGGAATCATTTCCCACTGTTTCTTTTTTCCATCCCTCAAGAAATATGTCCCTAATTTAAACACAGTCAACTAGAGAGGAACAAAATACCTCCTTGTTTTTTAGCGCCAGTGCTTGGGACTGCTAAGTCGCTTTGGTGGTTCTGACAGACTGCGGCAGTTTAAATTCCAAGATGGTAATCTGGATGGCGACCGCGTGAGCAAGAACGATGAGGTCGAGCTGGCCATGCAGCAGGTAGGAGGGCGAGGGTGAGGGAACTGTGCTGTAAGCTTTTCGTGTTTTGAGGGAAGTGTGATAAAAAGAGTAGATGTCACTTGGTAGTGCGTGTCTATAATCCCAGCTCTCTGGGAGGCTGAGGCAGGAAGATCACAAGTTTGAGCCCAACCTGGGCAACTAGATGAGACCCTGTCTCAAAATTTAAAAGGGGGCTGGAGATAGAGTTCAATATAAAGATCCTGAGCTCAATCCCCAGTATTGCCAAAAAAAAAAGTATATAATTTTATAAATTGATTTATATTCTTGTTCCTCTGTAGATCTAGATTTCTAGGACATGCAGTCACTGTGGGGGCTAATATTTTCACTACTGCTATTCTTTCATTGTAGATTTGTGCCAATGTAATGGAGTATTGCCAGTCACTCATTCTCCAGAGCTCCCCTACCCTCCAGCACATCGTGTGTCTCTTCACCCCCAGCCTCTCAGAAAGCAGTAACAGAGAGGGACCGCGCCAAGGTGAGCCCGCTTTGTTTTTCTGTGTCTGCAGAATGGTGCTGTGATTATGACAGCTCTCTGTCCTTGCTCTAGTGAAATGCAGCTCTTTTTCATTATACGAGTCATTAATGAGGAAATTTTAAGTGACTTTTTAAAGCAAATGTGGGCAGTACTACTGTCAGACCTCCGTGAGCCTGGAGAGCTCGAGAAAGAAATTCAGGATTTTCTGTATCTGAAAGAGCCATGTGGGAAAGTATACTCTTAAATAGTACTTAGATCCCAAAGAAAATAACTAGCATTGGAAAATAAGCTGGGTAAAAAAATACAAAACAGGGCTGGGGCTGGGGATTTAGCTCAGTGGCACAGCGCCTGCCTGGCAAGCGCAGGGTCATGAGTTGAATTCCTGGTACCAGAAGCAAAACAACAAAACAAAACAAAAAATATATAAAAATACCACAGATAGTTTTGCGTGTTAAATCAGGTGAAACTGAATTCAGTGTCTAAATGGAATTTTGTATTACAGCTCCAAACTTCTATAATAGAGCAAAGTAAAATTGAAATACTAGGTAGGCTGACTTAGCCTGTGATTTCCTCATGAGGTGGAGAAGATTTGGAATATGGGGCAGGACTGTGGTTTGGTAGGCACTGTTGTCCTGTGGACAAGGCCCATTGGTATGTTCGTGTAATGGTAATAGAATGAACTGGTGGTAGATTCAGGAAGCGTTTGGTAGGTTTCTGAGGATGTTATTTTAGACTTATAACCTTATTATATATACATTATGGGAAAAACTCTAACTCTTATAAAATATCCTAGCTAACAGGGTTACAGTTTTAAAATTGAAGTGTTAGTTACATACAACAAAATGTATCCATTATAGGTGTACAGTTTTAATAATTTTGATAATAAAATAAACAGTTGTGTAACCACTACCACAGTCAAAATCTAGGAACAATGTTCTCTTCCCTGTTCTTGCCATTTGCATTTGATCATTTCTTTTGAGCCCTGGCTCAGCCACCTACTGTTCTGATTCCGGATAGTAGTTCTGCCTTGTCCCTCCAGCATCTGTCTTCTGCTATTTGATGGAGACCTCTAACTGAAACTAATGCTTTAGAGCAGGTTCAACCTGAATATCAGATCCTCAAGCAAAAACGTAATTTTTTCATTTGTTCTTCAGAGACATTTATCATATTGTAACAGGGTATTATTGATGAGGATGATATTTTCATTTAGTCGCCTCTTTTGAGGCATTGTTGCACATTATATTATTTGTATTAAATATTTAAAAGGTAAACTTTATGAAGCTTTATAAATTAATCATCACTTTTCCTTAGACTTTTTTTATATTAGACCACACTTTCTTGTGCCAGTTCTAGACACCTGACCACGTAGGTTATGTGGTAGTCTTGAGAATAGAGAAGCAGTTTAACCTAGTGGTTAAGAATACAAGTTGGCTGGGCATGATGGCGCATGTCTGTAATCCCAGCACTCAGGAGGTTGAGGTAGGAGTTTGAGACCAGCCTGGGCTACAAAGTGAGCTCAAGGACAGCCTGAACTGCATAGTGAGACCCTGTCTCAAAAAGACCAAAAAAAAAACCCCACAGGTTGATGATAAATTACCTTGATTTGAATCCCAGTTCTTCTAGTAATGATTGGTACGACTTCAGAAAAGTTGCCCTCTTTGTACCTCAGTTTCCTTATCTGTGAAATGGAAGCTCTCCTTCGATGGCTTGCTATAAGAATGTACTAATGTGTGGAAAGTCCTTTAGAACGGAGCCTGCCAATTAGCATACCTAATGCTAGCTGTTACTATTTTGATTATTACGATTGTAATTGTTATCACATAGTACAGTTATTGTTTCTGGTGATCCAAAGACCCTTTCCTATAGCACTTCAACTTCTTACTCCGTGTGGTCCTATACCCGTGATTCTGTACTTCAGTTTCTCAGGAATCATCATCATCTGGTGTCTTGTAGCCTCTGAATGCTCTGATATTTTCTAGACTTGAGCAAGTTAGTGGGTGAGAACTCCTGAAATGCTTGGGGGACCTCTTGGCATTAGACCGTGCTCTTGGTTGAGATCTTCATCAGGAGAAGCTCTGTAACCACCACCATTTTGAAGGTTGTCACATCCTCACTGAAGACTGGCAAAGAAAACCTAAGAAGACCTAGGAAATCCAGTTTATCTAGCAGATCCTGACTGGAGGAAGCTTCCGCAGACAATATATCCCCTCATAAGATTTATGAAATCTTGCTTTAGAACAAAGTTAAGGGAATTGGTAATGTAAGAAGCAAGGCCATTAAACGATTATGTCCAAATTAAACTTAACATTACCAGTATTTTCAAGAAATCTCTTAATCATTAGAACAAGTTATTTCAGTTATGCTACACAAATTTCTCTAGGATGGTACTGTTATTGCTCCTTAATTCTTCCCTCTGATTTTGACTTTAATGACATCCCAGTGTTCCTTTGCATTTTCACGGGAAGGTAGCCAGGTAAAAGGCAAATCATTGTATATTGCTGCCCAGATGGAGCTGTAGTAAACGATGTGTTAAAATTCAAATCCAGTTATATTTTTGGAATATTTCAGTTAGCATTATTGTGTCTTTGAACTATCAATTCGGTAACTAGAAAGATGCAGACTAAGAATTAACTCATGTAACTGGAGCCATTAGTTGAGGAAGGAAATTATTCACCTGGGGTCAGAAACCCCTCAGATTACACATAGGGTTTGTGCTATATATATGGGGCAGGTAGAGGTGTATAACTCTCATAAAGTTCTCAGTGAAAGAAGTCTCTAGTAAAAGAAAAGCTCTGCTGATGTCCACCAGCTGTACTTCTCTCAGGTCTCTACCCTTACGCATGGACCTGGTTGCACTAGCTCACGGTGTACCTTGAACTGTCAGTGATAGTTTAAACATTGTCTTAGGTTCCTAGCTTTTAATAATTGTTTACATGTGCTTCAATTCTGGGGCATCCATTGTTTTAAGGAGATCATTTAAAATTCAGATAAAATTCTTAAGCAGAGCATTGTTCTCTGTCCTCGTATTAGATGCCCAGGTTCCAGTGGTCCCACACTGGCACCTGCCTGGTTTGGGCATTATCGTGTACCTGCTGAGACAGAGTGCCCGTGATTTCTTCAGCTATTACGACAGTCACCGACGCAGCGTCAGCAAGCTTCAGAGTGTAGAGCAGCTTCCTCCGGATGAGATAAAGGAGGTACGAGCCTTGAGGCGGGAACTTGAGAAACTATTGCGTTTACTGACAAGGAGAGGGTACGGTCTCGTGTGGGAGTGGAGGACAATATTTACTGTGTTACTAAAGGAACTGGCGAGATTCTTCTCTGTGCCTGGAAGAAGAGCCTCGCCTTTGCCCCAACTCCGTAAGTGTGGACACTCTACTGAAAAATGCTCAGGTGGTCCCATTTAAAATAGAAAAGCAGCTGGCTTTTGAGAGTTTTGAGTAATTTACATTCTAAAATCTGTGCTGAGAAATTGTGGTTTTTTATTGCGGATGTTTTTGTAGTAGAAAGTAGGTAACTGTCTCTGTGCCTTCGGCATCTTCAGTGTCTGTGTAGTGGAATTTTCAAACAAGTGAAATAGCACATCAAACTTCATGCCTTTTCTGAGTGACCCAGTCTTTCTCTTGCTCTGTAGCAAACAATGCCGACTTACTAGGCTGCTTCCCTAAGCAGCTTGCCTTCTTTTCCACTTGGGATAGCTGCACTACATGTAAGACCTTTCTTAGCCACTCCCTGAGCAGTGCTGAAGCTTCGTGTCCTCCGGCAGCCTGAGTATGGAGCCATTTCACCAGTCCTAGTTCACACCAGCCTTGCTGAAAAATTCCTCAGCACTCGTGCAGACAGGCTGTGAGCTGCATGTTCTGCCTGAATAAGGAGGCAGGTGGTGTTGGTACTCCCATTTCTCAAGAGGGGAAACAGGCACAAGTCTTGCTGACTTGCCCCAAGACACACGCAGCAGGCACAGGGTGAACCATGAGTGACTGAGTAGGTTCAGGTAACGCCTGAAACTGTGTGGGTTATGTCTGGCTGTTTTCTCCCTGTTGTGTATTGACAATGCCAGAGTGTTTGAGCCTCAGTATAACCAGGCTGTTGATTCCAGGACTCCTGCGGGTACCAAAGTCTCAGGGCGGTAAAGTCCCTTAATAAAGCAGTGTAGAGTTTGTATACAGCTTAGCACACATTCTCCTCTGTACTTCAAATGATGTCTAGATTACTTAGTTTGCTGCTGTATTTTTTTAGGGAATAATGGCAAGAAAATGTTGAGTACAGACACAGTTCTTTTTAAAAATATCTGTGACCAGTAAGTTGGTTGCATCTGTACGTGCAGAACCTGGGGCTGTGGAGGGCTATGTCTGCAGGATGAGTGGCCATCATATGCAGCACACAGGTTCCGCCAGTCACTGCAGTCTGCCTTCTGTCAGGCTGTGTCCACGAGTGTGTGTATGCCAGGGGAGGCTTCGGTTGGTCATTGCGTGTTCTCCGTGCCGTAGACATCTGCATTTCATGTTCTTCAGAAGATGCCTGACAGCCATTGGGGAAATGCTCCATGGCATTGTTTCACCTGCTCTTGCACAAGTAGGCTCTGTGCCCATGTTACAAGAACTTGAGGCTGGCGAGCCCATTAACAGGTTGGAAGTGTCGCTGCCTGGACAGGAGAAGGTAGTAGGTAAACACTGCTATGACTCTGACTGCTTCTTTGGCTCTCATTTTCGCATAAAGAGACTCTTGTCTGCAAGGATATTTAAATGTGAGTACTTTTCACAGCACTTAACACAGTGACCTACCAATGCTAGACAAACTTGTTAAATTTGTTACAGTTTATGTCATTCTAATAGTACATTTATTTTTTTCTCCTAGTTGTGTCAGTCCGTGATGCCTGCTGGTGTTGATAAAATCTCCACTACCCAGAAGTATGTTCTGGCAAAACGGTGCTTGGTGAAGTTGATCAATAATAGAGCTAAACTGCTTTCCCTGTGTTCTTGTATCCTTTATAAAGTCATAGGCTTGAGTGGTGACCTTTCAATATAGAAACTGTTGAGCCTGGTGTGGTGGCTTATGCCTGTAATCCCCCTACTCGGAAGGCTGAGGCAGGAGGATCTCTGGGAGTTCGAGGCCATCCTGGGCAATAAAGTGAGCTCAAGGCCAGCCTGAACTGTATAGTGAGATCCTGTCTCAAAAAGGAAAAAAAAAAAAAATAGGAACTATTTACAGACAAGTCACATTATTTGTCCACTAAAACTAGATGGGAGGGGACATAATTGCTGTTGTTTTCCTGTAAATGCCTGATACATTTTCAAGTTGTAATATTCTTTTGAGTAGCCAGTAATATTGGATATCCAGACCCTTTGTGTCGGCAGGGGTAAGGACTCCAGAGGGCTAGTGCACACCTGCCTGTCGCCCGCGCAGCCCCTTGCTGCTCTCTCTGGAAGCTCCTCGTGGAACCTCACTGTCTGGCAGGCTGCAGCTGGGCTGCATCACTGTGGGAGTACAGCCTCTTTTCTCCTCAGAAGCTGGGGTGTAAAGACACACCATGAGGTTATTGTCCTTTACCTGGAATGCGCAGTTATCATAGAGACCTGCCTCTTTGTTCTTTGGCGCCACCTGGAGTACTACTTGTTACACTGCTCGCCCATGAATTCCCAAGATTCCTTATTTGCCTCCAGACCCTTATTTAAAAGCAGAAGACTGCAAGGTAAACTTTATTTTGCGGATAAGTGAACCATAAATGCTGATGTATTATAATGCCTTGAAAAAGTAGTCACTTTTTTATTTTAGCGACAAGGTCTTGGTATGTTGTCCAGGCTAGTCTTGAACCCCGCCCCCCCCTCCGGGCTCAAGAGACCCTCTTGCCTCAGCCTCTACAGTGGCTGGGCCGCAGGTGTGCCAACTACATCCACTATTTTTGTTTGTTTTTGGTTTAGCTCTGCCACTAAACAACAACTCCAGCTCAATTTTCATTTAATTTTTGTGTTTGTAGGTTGCTACAAGTGAATGAGGTAATTAAGAGCTACTAATAGACGTAGCTATGTTTTGTATTTCTGTCCATGGGAAATGGTGCTGAGCACAAGAGTGTTTGAGAGCCATCTCATAGCGGCTCTTCACCTTCTTGCACAGAAGGGCTGACTCTGCTCAGGCATCCCCTGGTCACAGTTCTCCAGAGGCACAGAAGCAGGACAACCATTAGGCTGTGATGCTGTGATGCTCGTGGCTGAAGTGAGTCTGTGTGGCTCACAGGTGTCTAGGTCCCTTCACTGTGGGAACAGAAGGAAAGTGGGGGAGCCTGGGCCTGGCCCAGGGAAGCGTGCCGAACCTTCTGTGGCCAAGAGCTACAGACGGGGTTCCCAGGCCGTACCACTTCTCCCAGGCCTGCTGCTCTGGTTGGCAGGTTCTCCCTCCCATTGTGCTGGAGACAGATTAGCAGAGCTCCTTTGACTGTGTCTCTTATCTCTAGATTCCTTCCCCTCAGAAGCCAGTCTGGATTTTAGAATTGGGCCAACTGTAGTGAGCCAACATGATATAGAGCAGGTAAGGCTGTATTCTCATACTCTGTTTTTCTCCTCATTATAGTAAAAAGGAATGCCAGTGGTGTTACAGATTGTCATTTTCAGGACTGCATACAGAGATCTAGATGAATTCTGACTTGGCCCCTTAACAGCTATGTGGCTCGGCACGACTTAGTTTCTGAGCCTCCATTTCTTTGTCTAAGAAACGATAATTCAACCTCAGAAGGTCTTGTCAGAGCTAGGTGAGGTTTCATGTCTAGGGACCTGGACACCTGTGAAGTTCTCAGTGGTTGAGTAATTGGTAGGTGTTGTGGGCTGTGTTTTAGTCAGCTTTCCATCATCATAGTTAAATACCCAAAATAATTATCAAGAGAAAAGATTTACTCTGGTTCACAGATTGTGAGGTTCCAGCCCAAGATTGGCCCCATGGCCGTGGTGGGCATGCTGGACAACAGGTGAAATAAGCTACAGATCCCATGGCAGGGCGCAAAAGAGAGAAAATCCATGGTCCCGGAGTCCTCACTTCCAGGGCATATTCATCATGACCTCAGGACTTCTGTGGGAACAAAGGCTTTATAACACAGGGACCTCAGGGAACATTCCCTACCCAAACTATAGCAGTATATACATCTCTACTATTAGGTTTGCAGAAGTTTTAGGCACAAAGTATCACTTGACACTTAATTTCTCAGGAAATACTTTTGGTGTGAGATTAAGGGCATCCAATAAAAATCCCACTGTATTAAGTCTATTATAACATGAGGCATTATGGTCTTAGTGTCCTCTTCATCTGAAGTGTTGCAAAAATGAAGAATGTCCCAGAAACAATGAGTGTGCTAAACTAGTAGTGAGGGCTTGTTTCTAACCAGACAGGTATGAGAGTGTGGATTAGGGAAGATGGCTTATAGCTAGATCTGCTGCTAGGCACCTGATATCTTTAGCTATGATTTCAGAAGGTGTCTTTTCTTCTCAAATCCCTGTTTGCTGCCTTTCTTAAAGCTGATGATTGGGCCTTAAGCAGGGAAGAGAGGTGCAGTAGCCCTTAGACCAGTTCCCCAGATGTCCTGGGTAACACACTCATCCTGGGCCTGCCTGTGTTTGCCCCTCAGTGACCTTTTTATAAAAGGAAGCAAGGGTTGAGGCCATGTACAGAACTGGACAAAAAATAGATTGTCCAGAAGACGTTTAATAAATGGCTGTTGAATTAATGACCCTTACTGTCCCAGTTAGATTGTCTGTCATAAAGCTAACCCAAAAAATGGAGGATGAATCATCTCACTCGCTGTAATTTTAATGCAGAACTGAAGGCAGGTAGACTTGTCTACTTTTGTGCTTAATTTTGTCCTTTCAATGTGACATCAAAAAGATAATCTGAACCTACCTATGAATGGTGAAGTGCATACCAACTCCCTCCCTGCCGGGCCCCCATTGCTATTTCTTAAAAACAAATGCATGCAGATGTTTTAATTGCAAAATAAAGTGGAAAGTAAATGCCTCTCCTGCCTATGCCTTCCTCCTTCTCTTCTTTCTCCTATTTTTTCTTCTTTTTTTGAGGTCCGGTGTTGCTATGTTTCAGGCTGGCCTTCAACTCACAACATTCCTCCTGCCTCAGCACCTCTTCTTTTCCCCACAAAGGCATTTACTCTTTAACTTTTTTTTTTTTGAGGAAAGATTTCACTCAGTTATTTTGAGGAAAGATTTCAACTGGGTTTTGAGGAACTTGCTATCTTCCTCCCTTGGCCTCTCAGAATACTAGGGATTATAGAAATGTGTCTCCATGCCTGACTTCTTAACTCATTTATATGGCCTTTTTGGAATTGTTTTTGCATATATGTCAGTATATCAGTATCAGTTTTTGTTTGTTTGTTTTTTATTATTGGTACCAGGAATCAAACCCAGGACCTTGTGTTTGCCAGGCAGCCATGGTGTGGCTGAGCTGTATCCCCAGCTCAGTATCAGTAATTATTGTAATTTAAAATAGATTCATATATATAAGAACAGAAAGAGGAACAAGCACTAGGATCATAAAATTCTAAGGTAGAAAATGTGAATGTATGGTTAATGTGGTACCACATAACAAAAATCCAAAAGTATTTTACTTTGAAAAGATCACATTACAAAAATAGAAAGCTGCTTTAAGTTGGAAGCCATAGAAAGAAGATATTTGAGACAGCAATTCTAATAATCTTATCTGTGTTGCCTCTAGCTTCAGGCTGATGCCATCAATGCATTTGGAGAATCACTACAAAAGAAGCTTTTGGACATTGAACGATTATATTCAAAAGTCCGATCTCGCTATAGTTTCATACAGGCTCTTGTCAGACGTATCAGCGGCCTACTGAGGTTATCGAGGAGTTGAGAGCCTGCATCTAGTGCTCTTCTATGGAAGAGATGAACTGGGGACAGCTATCTCCTTTTTATAGATTACTTTGTTTCTAAATTATGACCAAAATATTTTGCTATGTCTTTATATGTGAAATCTTTTCTGTAAACGTCTTTGCCTGATTCTATCCTCACTAGTAAAAAATAAATACTTTTTAAAAAAAAACAAAGGAAATTTATGGTCAGTTTTTTGAAATTTTTATCTAGGAAGTGATCAACATCATTGGTAATGTTAACATAGAAACCTTTTTACAGTGATGGTTTTCCCCTAGAGATATTTTGAATGCTAAGTTAGGCATCATCTGGAAATGCTAATTTTTTTATCCTTTTATATCACACTTCTGGCACTTTTTACCCACACTACATGGGGTAGAATGGATAAAAAACTAGCAATGCCTTCCACCCACGAGCTACTCAATACTGCAAACATACACTGTGGACATGTCTCAAAAAGGTAAACCATCTCTCTCCAGAAATTAGCTTTTGCCATTTTTCTACATAAATGACAATTTGGTGATTTGCATTTGTAGAAATTATTATGAAATTTTTCATTAGAATGATGGCTACCTCTAAGGCAAAAACCTTAACCCCCACTCTGTTTCTTGTCCAGTGAAATAGTTACTGTGGTATCTGAAAGTGCATTTTCCTTTCTAGCCAGCAGTTATTCAGCCCTGGTACACAAGTGTCTTACTTTGCTCTCATTGCAGGGACAAAATACCCAAACGGAAAGTTAAAGAGGGAGGGGTTTATTTAGCTCAGTTTGTGAAGGGTTCAGTCTATAATGAGCTGGCTGTAAGTGGCATGGCCTAGGGGCAACAGTTCAAGGTGTTAGAAGACAGCAAAAGCAACAAGAGCAGAAGTGGGGAGAGCAAGCCTCTTTTCCTCCCTTACATTGTAAGCAGGCTATCACCCACTAGGGCAGGTATAGCACTCATACCATCTCCCTTCCCTCTTGCACAGGATGAGGATGTTTACAAAGTGAGGAGCTTGCTGAGTTGATTAGTTAAACTTCTCAAGTGGACACAATGTATCAACCATTACAATCCACCCCTTGTCAGCTTGGCAACCAGACCCATTTATTTCAACAGGTTTCCAGATACAAAGACATGCTTATTATCATTTCACAACTTGAACATTATAGCACAGGTTCAACAATCCTTAAGAACCAGTTTTAAGTCTATTCAACATTATATTACATTAGAATCATAACATTTTGCCCTTTGCTCCCCAAAGACTCATGCACATCCCTTTATGTAAAAGGCATTTAGTTCATCTGCAAGAGTTGGGATAACAGTTTTAGCATTGCTGAAATGTCCAAGTCTGAAGTCTCCTCCAAGGTGTAAGGCAAACTCTTAGCTGCAAGCCCCTGTACAAATGAGAATGAAGTTAAACACTTCCAACAGTTAAAGGGACAAGGTAAACATTTTCATTCCAAAAGTTACAAACGGAGATACAAAGGAATGGTACCAAAGCAAGTCCACAATTCTGCAGGACAAACATCTGAGGAAATCTGTGGCAAGTTGTGAACTCCAAAGGGATTGAGTGGCTCCACCCCTATGGCACTTGCGGTGGTTGTAGCTCCCATGGCTTCTTGGGCCCACTGTTCTCCCTTCTTGAAGCTTTCCTCAAACAATCTGAAAGACAAAATTCCTGCCAAGAATGCCCAGCAGAACCAGATGGACATGTCCAGAAAAGCCTGATAACAGGACATTTCTTCCTTTGTAACCCATGCTTGTTTAATGAATTGCCTAGCAATGTAACTTCCAATATAATGGGAACTTCCAGTATACTACCTTTGTGAAACCCATGCTTGTTTAACTGATGGCCTTGCAATGTAACTTGAGATGTTTAAACTCCCTTAGCAACCCATGATGTCACCCAGCCCTCCAATCACAATGTGCCAAATCTACCTTTTTACTTCCCAGTTCGCTCTCCCTATAAAAGCCCCCCAAACCTTCGCTAGGTGGGGCACTGACTCTTTGGAAGCGATCCCAGGCAGGCTCACTGGTGTAATAAACTATGTCTTAAATGTTTGGTCTGTTTTCTGTTACACATCCATGTTCCTGGCTTTCCCAAACTTGTGGGGTCTCCATTGCACCTCTGGTTTCACCCTCACAGCTTCACACACTGCCCGGCCCCCCAGGCCTTCTGAAATTGGGATGGAAGCCTTCTTAACCCCACGACTCTTGGCATTTTGTATGTACCTAAAACCAATGCCATGTGGATGATGGCCAAGGTCTGCTGCCAGCTGGAGCAGTAGCCAGGTTTTCCTCTCTTGGCTGTAGGGGCTGAGTGCCTGGATCACTGGGCACTCTGAATCCAATTCTAAGGAACAAAATTTCTATGCTGCTGCTATTCTGGAATATGGTGCTCTGTGGCTTTCTCTTCAAAGCAGTCTTTCACTTTTGCAGTGTTGAGGCTGCAAAGGGTGGAGACTTGCTGCTGCTTGTGATGCTCTCAGGCCGTCTTTTCTATTCTCTTGTTCCTTCTCAGCAATCAAGATCTCCTCAGCTTTATCTTTGTAGGCTACAGCTTTACTAGAACTTCCTTTCTGGCCAAACTCACAACATTTTAAATTATTCTCCTGGGCTTCTTGCTCTTGATTCTTACCATAGATCTAGCTAAAAGCCCCAAACAGTAGCCATGCCACTGCCTCAACATTAGACTACCTTGAAATTTCCTCTGCCAGATTAATCAGTCCGCTGCTCTTAATCTCAGTCTTAGGCAAAGTCTCTGGATACAAGCAAAATGCAGACAAAATTTTTGCCAAGCCATAACATCATCTGGAGTCCAACAACCAATGCAGTCCTTCCTCCCAGCAGAAACCTCCCAAGCCTGGTCTTTCCTGGCAGGATTTCTATCAGTCTTCCTGTCTTCTGCGCTCTGACCAGGATGTCCCATATAATACAACTGAAGGTGTTCTGGCTCTACTTTTTCAGCTGGCATCTCTGAACCTTTTCCAGTGTCTTCCCACAAACCATTCCCAAAGGCTCTTGAACCACATGATCAGGTATAGTCACAGCAACAACCCCACACTTTTCTCTCGCTGAGACAAATACTCAATGCCCAAAATTAAGGAAGGAAAGGTTTACTTGGTTCACAGTTTCTGGAGGTTTCAGCACATACTTTGCTCCAAGGCAGGGTGGCATGGTAAGAGGCAACAGCTCAAGGTGGCAGAAGACAGTAAATGCAACAAGTGCAAGGGGAGCGCAAGCCTCTTTCCTCCCTTATACTGTAAGCAGGTAGCACTCACACCTACTTGCTGCCCTCCTCTTGCACAGGATGAGGATATTTACAAAGTGAGGACCTTGGTCCCCTGCTGAGTTGCTAAGTTTTACTTCTAAACTTCTCAAGTTAACACTGTATCAACTATTACAACAGAAGATACTGCTGAGAGGGAAAGGAGCCTTGACCCATGTAGAAGCAGAAAATAAGCAGCAGGTCCTGCGTGGTGTATTGAGCTTTTTTAATCTTAAAATTAATGTGGCATCTTTTAAAACAGGCTTAGCCATTGTTATGTTTTGAAATTAGTTCACTGCCCATTAGTTGTAACCTAGTCCAGTCTTTGGCTGGAAAGTGTCCTGTCGGTAAATGGATGTCTTGGAGGGAGATGAATGAAGATGTGGTCAGATCCAGAATAGAGTCCTTGAGCCTGCTGCTGCACTACTTGAGCCTAGAGCAAACATTTTTGTTTTTGGTTGGTTTGTTTGTTTGCAGTGTTGGGGATCAAATTCACGGTCTCATGCAGGCTGGGCAACCACTCTGCCCCTGAGCTGCACCCCTGGCCCATAGGGAGTAATCTTAGCTAGGATATAACCTCTGATCCAGCAATAATTGACAAAGCCTGGCATATTAAGCTGCAAGTTTTTATAAACCTGTGGTGTGAAGTCTTCCACAGCAAATTTTAGCCAGATCTGCAACTAAGAATTTTGGATTTACCAAACATGATTGTCTTGTTTTCTGTAATTTCATTCAAAAGTGCCTCCTACTGGCTTACAAGCTAGGGCAGTGCGGAGGAGCTCCCTGTGGTGCCTGCTGACCAGAAGTGCTGTCTGTCCACAGCAGGTGAGGTTAAAGTGGGTTCAGAGAACTCAGCCTGACCTAGTCACCTGGGGCACAGAGAGGTGTTAGATACTTTAGAAGTCTTCATTCAGCAGGGCAAAACAAAGAGAGGAAACCAAGCTTTAGAAACTTTCACAATGTTCTAATCTTTAAAGGAAAGGCTTAGCTCATGCATTCCTCAAAAATATCAAGTAAATGTGGGATTTTAAATCATTTTAAGTGAGTTGATAAGTTGGTTGTGTTGGGAAATCAGAAGGTGGTACCTTCCCTCTTGCTGGTCATCATTATAGTTTGGACAAATTTATACTCACATTTCTTATCTATGCTATACAGGCTGTGAATACTTTTTCTAAATATTTTTCTGTTGTTTCCCTAACTTTGAAGAAGTCTGAATCTTCAAAAGAATTGAAAGCAAAGTACAATGAAACCATATACATATGGTTTCACCTGGATACCAGTTGTCCTCAGCACATTGCTTTATCTTTTTAGGTGTATATATGTACTATTTTTCTTCCTTAAGTTGTAATCTTTGTGGCACTCTATCCTTAAATATTTTAGTAGGGATAAACATAGCTTCTTTCCTAACAGCAAAACAATCACATTTAAGACGGTTGATAATAAAACAATAAAATTTTCTAGTATTTCACCTATATCCAAATTTATTTAGTTGTTTCAAAAATATACTTTAGAATTTTTTTTAACCTAGGATTCCATCAAGAATCACACATTACATTTAGTTACCTCTTTCTTCACTTTTATTCTCACATAGTCCCTTACCATTTTATTTGGGGAGCGATGGTGACATATTTTAGCTGATTTTTAAAAGCTTGCATATCTTACGTGATTAGATTCAATGTTTACATTTTTGGTCAGAATTCAGCTGATTCTCCGTGGTTGTATTATATCAGGAGGTACATACCAGTGAGTTTCATGACTATGCCTGAACACTTGGTCAAGGTGGTGTTGACACATTGCAATTTAAAGGTTGTTTCCCAACCCAGTAAGTAATCTGTGGGATGATACTTGGAGAGTGAATCTCTTGTTTCCAGAAAACCTTTCCACCATTGCTTTAATCATTTCTCTTAAATATTATTTTAAAAATCATGTTCTTTTTCAACATACAAATAATATAGTAAACCTCCAGATATTCATCCTGCTTTCATGTCAAAAACCTAATTTTATCAAATCTTAAAATTATTGCATTTGTTCCAGGTCTTTTTTTGTGTGTGACAAGAAACAGATTCACCATTGTCAGGAACTCCTTGATCCCCCTCTTGACTCATCCTTTTCACTACATATGTGTTTTCTACGTCCTCTATATTTGTGTGTACTCACAGGCATTAAATAGTATTGTTTTGCACACTATTAATCCTTCTATGTGTTTATACTGTATGAAGCAATTTACAGGTTGCTTTTCCATTTGATACTGTGTTTTTGTTCTTTCATTTTTTGAGACAGGTCTCACTATAGTCCTGGATGACCTTGAACTCATGATCCTCCTCTCTCAGCCTCCTGAATGCTGGTATTACAGGTGTGCATCAACATGCCTGACACAACATTGTGTTTTTGATAACTTCTCATGATCATTTATTATGATTATTGAATAGTGACAGTATCCCATTGTACAAATATCCTGATTTATACCCATACTACCAGTGGATTGGCAGACATTTACATTTCCAGTATTTTGTAAACTGGAATGATGATTAGCATACTATCTCCTTGGAGAAAACATACAACACATAAGAGGACTTCTGTGGGTAGTATCACTAGAATTGGAAATCCTGCCTTGGAGCTTAAATGCCTTATTTCACTAAAAATTATAGTAGTTTTGTGAAAAAAATTGCAGTGTACTCTCACATACAGGGTAAAAAGTCTTGTTTGTCCACACTGTTGATAACACTTCCATCTGTCTTTTTAATTTTTACCAATCTGGTGGGTATCAAGTGATATATCAATTGATTCACATATTTTGTGTATTACTGGCCATCCTCCCCCAACCTTTTTTTGTTGGATTATCTTCCTTTTTCAGTGTGTAGGAAGTAATTATAAATTGCAAATAACTTTAATTTTTTTGTTTTCAGGTATTTTTCTCCTAGTCTGTTATCCTGCCAACACTGGTATAGATATTTTATACCTTAATGTGTCAAATTTACCTTTTCCTTGCTTTTTTTTTTTGTTCTGTATGTTTTATGTAAACTTCTTCTACAACCTAAGATCGTACAGATACTCTTCTGTAGTTTGTCAGAGAGAAGCAGTGGAGCAGCTGTATGCAGAAAACAGGAATAGACAAAATGCTGTTTACATTCCTGCAGCTTTCCTGTACCCGTCTTTGTCCACTGTATTCATGTATTGCATTCCCACTTGGTTTAAGCTGTTCTAATTTAGTTTTCTATTATTTGAAACCATAGTTCTGCTCATAGTAAATTAGTAGGTAAGTGAATTCAGATAATTTAGGTAAGAGAGAAGGATGGTGTGTGTGTGTGTGTGCGTGTGTGTGTGTAGGGGCATTTTGAGAGACATGAAGACCACGAGCAGGTGGTGGCCAGCAGTATGACCGGTGCAGCTGGGAGAGGCTCCCGGGCAGAGCTCACCATCTACACTGATCCCTTATCTCACTTGGTTCCCACCATAGTTTGGTTCCCACCATACTTTGGTATCTGGTGTACGCCTCCTTTCTTTATGGAGGCAGAAACAGCTTTAGAGAGGTTAGGTTGCTGCTTGCGGCTGCCAGGCGGTGCAAGGCCACTAGGACTTGAACCTATCTGTGCCAGGCACACATCAAACGCCTCCATCCTAGCAATTAAGCACTTGACCTCTGCCATGGGTCCTCAACTCAGCTGCACACACACTCCCGGAGCTTTTGAAAAATACAACCCTTCTCCCTTTCCCTCGGGGTCCGCGCGGGCCTAGCGAAGGTCGACGTTGCAAAAGCTCCCAGGCGATTCAGGTGCGTACCCAGAGATGAGACCCGCTGCTTCATCCCGTCTCCTGGACCAGAGAGCCCTGTGCATCAGAATCACTGACGCTCTTGGAATAACACAGATTGATGTGCAAAACTGCCCAGCCGGTCTTGTAACTTGCTTCTCCGAGCCCGGCTCAGGCAACTATTCTAGAGTACCCCGTTAGGGGGCGCTGCGGCACCGCGAGCCGCTTCCGGGCAACAGTAAGCGGCGGCGGGGGTGGGAGGGTGTGACCCGGAAGTCGACGGCGCGGGTTTCCGCTCTTGTGCCGGGGAGGCGGCGTGAGCGACTCACGTAGCTGTGGCGGCCTGGGCGCCCTTCCGGCTGTCCCCACCGACAACATGCTCCAGTTCCTGGTGAGTGGAGCCCTGTGGGGGTCTCCTCTGCCTCCTGCACGCCCCCCGGCAGTGTTTCTCTGCCGGCGTCCGGCTTCCTGTGAGGTGGAGGCGTCGGGGGAGCGCGCGTTCGCACTCTGCATTGTGCGTCCCGCGAACCCGCGTGCGAGAGCCCGGGCCGCTGAAGGCCGACGGGCGCGGCCTCTGGGAGCTGAGGGCCGGCGACCCCGCGCCTGCCTGCGCCTCCTCCTCACGCGGCGGGGCTGAGCCCTCTTCCGCCCTTTCAGAGTGGCGGAGTCAGACGCTGGCAGTTTTCACCAAAGTCCTTTTTTGGGGTGGGGGGATGAGTATTACCGTAATACTCACGGTTTCTGGAGTTAGAAGCACCTTCTCTGACAAACTCAGTTATTTCCAGAATTGCCTAGTGAGTGTTCCAACGGACTTAACCATATTTCCAATGAAAGTTTTTCCACCAAAAACTTACTGTGCAGTTCAAAAACTTGACGCCTTCAACCTCTCTTGAGGCAGATACTGTCTTTCAGATGGTCCGTGGAGACCTGGTGTTCTAGGAATGAGTTGCTTCCCCAAATGTACTTTTGAAACATGGAGATTAATGGTTAAATTTCTTTTGTCAAAAGAGGATCCTTGACCTAAACTTCCTAATTAAGACGTTGTTGCTCTTTTCCCTCTGGGAGTTTCTTCAGAGCCCTAACTAGATTTCAGGGGTAATTAATGTTAATTTATTTTAGGAAACTCATAGTTAAAAGCAGTATCAGCCCCCCAGGTATAAGGTGATATAATTGAGCGTCCTACTAGTACATTTATTCCTTATTTTTTTCTTTCATCTATTGCTTATTGATACACTGAGAAGACATTCATTTACAGTTAACTTTTGAAATGTTTCTGCAGAATGAACTTATCTGGGACTATTTATATATTGCTATATATAAATATGTTATGTTTGAGATTTGTGAATTCACAAAATTATCAGCATTTAAGAAAAGATGCTGAAACAAAATAACATATATATTGCAGTTTTTAAAAAAATGATGGAACGTGTAATTGGAAGTATTTGAACTTGTCTCTATAAATTATTCATCGCTTTTGTTTTGCTCTGTGTGTGTGTGTGTGTGTGTGTGTGTGTGTGTGTGTAGTGTTTCTCATATAAGAAAAACCATAGAATATTTGAGCTTGGGGGTCTGACTTATTTTAGTGTTATGTTCTCAAATTGTATCCACTTACCTAGGAATGCCTGAAGTTTATCTTTATGGCACCGTAGTAGTCCATCTTAGTTGAAAAGAAAGTTTGTGTTATGTTTCTTTTTTGTAAGAATCTTTTCTGCTTATGTCTTATACTGATAATGTGCAGATAACAATACACAGTGTAATAACTTGTTCTCATTATTTGGTTATGAAAATTTCTTTTGTTTTTTCATAAAATAAAAAAGAGATACTGAAGTGTTTATTAAATTCCTAGCTCAGAAGTAAAGCCAGCGTATGTAGTGTTGAATAAGAGGACAGCCTCTAGACTCACTCTTGTGTTTGTATCCTGCCCCATCATGCTCAAGCTGTGGGAGTTTGGGCAGGTTATTTCATTTTTCTGAGCTTCAGTTTCCACACTTGAAAATGGGAACTTATCTCATGCTTTTGTTGTGAGGATTAAAAAGGGAAGTTAATCCATTCAAATATTTTTCCATCATTCCTACTTAAACAGTGTGTTCATAGAGTAACGACAGTTGTTTTAAGAACGCTTTCCAAGAAAAAGAGCTTTGTGCAGTGCTCCTGACACTGTTACTGTTGTCGTCTTACCCTATAAAGTCAGTGGCACTTGTTATTCAAACCCCCTCATCTTTCATCCCGCCTCCTTTGGCTTTCAGACCCTGAAGCTGGTACTGTCACAGTCAGTCATGTTATAATGCAGTAAAATTACTTTTTAAGGAAAGACTTGCACCAAGTGAAGGTGACTGGTGTTAGTGCGGCTGAAGGATCATATCAGGGTGCACCAGTTGGGAAACAGCTGTATCTAATCTAATCTCTCCTGTTTTACTGGTTGTTTTTTCCTGCACTCAGTTACTGTGCTGCTCAAGGGTCAGTCCTTGACCACCACCACCCTTCTTGTCAAACTTAGCCTTAGGGAGTTTGTTCTTCGGCCTTCTGTCAACTTTCACCTCTTTGTGACAGCTTCCAAAACTACCTTGGGCTCTTGTTCCCTGGTATCAACCAGCAACTGAACATGTTTGGATCCATTATCTCTTCCTCCCAGTCTCTAACCCCACCTAATTTCTTTCTGCCCCTGCTCTGAATCTCCTAAACTTGAAATGTTGGTGTAATCTTTCATTTCTTTCATTCTCCATGTCATTTTCCTGCTGTGAGCCTGGCACATAAGTTTACCTACTGTAATCTTGGGCAAATTACTTAGAGGCTTTGTGCCACATTTTCTTAATATATTACTGGGCAGTGAAAATATTTGCTTTATAAGGTTTGTGAAGAACATGAGTTAACTCATGAAAAAGGAGAATGTTACTTTGCATATGGTAAGCACTTACCAAATGTTATTTTTTTCTAAATATTATTTTAAAAGTCATTTTAAGACTTGTTCATTATGCAAAACTCTCTCCCCATTGCTAACTTCGAAGAGTAGGTACTTTTCAGCCCCTCCTCTCATACTAGCTACACTGTGGTAGCTGGTATAGGATTTAGGTTTTGACTTAGAAGATTATTTTTCTTATTCAGTTAATATGCTGATGCTTGAGTCTTCACTAAGGTCCTCAGTTTGGAGACATGTAAAGCATTGTAGTCAATACTTTGTGATTAATTTACAGTACATATTTATACTCCACATCTGCAGATTCAACCAACTGTGGATTGAAAATATTTGAAACAAAATGCAGATTTTTTCCTGTCACTATTCCTGAATATTACAGTGGAATGGCTCTTCCCATAGCATTTGCATTGTAATAGATACCACAAAAACTTTAGAGATAATAAATTAAAGTATATGGAATGATATGTGTAGGTTGTTGTGCCATAAAAAAAGGGACTTGAACATGTGCAGATTTTGCTATTTGTGAGGGTCCTGGCACCAATCCCTGTGGGTAGCAGGGATTTTTTTTTTTTTTAATTTTAGGTCTTCTTTTTGCCTCATTACTGTCTCAGTCTTAAGATATGTGAGTATTTGCATCAGCTTCTGCCTTAGTTACTTTTTTTGTTGCTGAGACAAAATACTTAACACCCAAAATTAAGGGAAGAAAGGTTTATTTAGATCAGTTTGTGGAGGTGTCAGTTCATGGTCAGCTGGCTCCAAGGAAGGGCAGTATCGCAGAAGAGAAACAGTTCATGGCAGGCAGAAAGTAGCGAAGCAACAAGGGATGACTATAGTTCTTTCTAACCCTTATATTTTATCCAGGCTACTTAGGACTGGTAACACTCAATCCCAGTGCCCTTGATCCTAGCATTGTATCATGAATCAACCCCAGCATCACATACTGTAGATTCAGCTACGAAAAAGTCCAATCTATGACTGCATGAGGCTTTGTGGAGGGCATCTATACACAAGCCATAACATTCCACCCCTAGACCTCCAAAAACTCATGCACAGCCTTTTATGCAAAAGGCACATAGTCCTATCTCTAAGAGCTGCCAAAGCCTAACAGTTTCAGCATTGCTGAAAAGTCTTTTCTGAGATGTAAGGTAAACTTAGCTACAAACCTCTGTACAAATGAAAAGAAAGTTAAACACTTCCAACATTCAGTGGCACAAGGTAGATATTTCCATTCTAAAAGTTACAAATGGGGATAGCAAGGAATGGGAACAAAGCGAGACCAAAATCCAGCAGGGCAGCCATTAAATCCCACAGTTCTACTTCCAGCAAATCAGGCAATATGTGGCAAGTTGTGAACTCCAACAGGCTTGGGTAGTTCTGCCCCAGTGGTACTTCTGGTGGTTGTAGCTCCCATGGCTTCTCTCTTGGCCAGGTCTGCTCCCTCCTTGCAGTTTTTCTCAGATGATTCATGTTGTTCCTGGCTTCTCCAAACTTCTGGGGTCTCCACTGTACCTTTGGCTTCATACTCACAGCTTCACACACTGCCCTCTCAGGGATGCACTGTCAGTCCTTGCAGGCCTTCTGAATTCTGGGTGGAAGCCTTCCTGACCCCACAACTCTTGCATTCCACATGCACCTAAAACCAACACCATATGGATGCTGCCAGAGTCTGATGCCAGCTGGAGCAGTAGTCAGGCTTTTTTCTCTTTTGGCTGAGTGAGTGCCTGTGAGCCAAATTGCTAGAAACAACTTCCCTAGGCAGCCACCATTCTGTAACGTGCTCTAGGGTTCTCGTCTCAAAGCAAAGTCTTTCACCTTTGCAGTTCTGAGGCTTTAGATGCTGGAGTCTTCTTGGTTCTTGTGATGTCCTTAGGTCATCTTTTCTATTCTCTTCTTCTGAAATACAGTACTTGGCTTTTTCTTGCTAGTCTTTTTGATCGACCAGTTTCTCCTCTGTTCCATCTTTGCAGGCTGTAACTTTATTGGAACTTCCTTTTTGGCCCAATCATTTAAATCATTCTGCTGAGCTCTTTGCTCTTGATTCTTAACGTAAATTTGACTAAAGGCCCCCAACAGTAGCCAAACCACTGCTTCAACATTAGACTGTGTTAAGATTTCTTCTTCCAGATAAATTAGTCTACTACCCTTAATTTCAGTCTCAGACAAAGTCTCCGGATGCAAACAAAATGCAGAACAAATACTTTCTGTCAAGGCGTAACACACATTTCCTGGAGTCTAACAGCCTTTCCCAGCAGAAACATTTGTCTTTACCAGCAGAATTTCCATCAACATTCTGGTCTTCTGAGCTCTGACCAAAAATCTCCCATCAAATACAGCCTCAGGTGTTCCAGCTCTGCTTTTTCAGCTGGCATCTCCAAACCTTTCCTAACTCTTCCTCTTCCCAAAGGCCAGCTCCAAAAGCTCCTAAACCACACAGTCAAGTACAGTCATGGCAACAACCCTGCTTTTCTGGTACCAGA